CCAATGAAAAGTCTCCTCATTCTTCACCCCATCCACCAATTATTGCCAATTTCCAGTATATCTTTCCATGACAGTCCTTGTATAAACACTTACACATGTATATATGTATGCGAATATATTCCCCCTTGTTTCTTGCAAAATACTAATGGTCCTCTCTTCCTGAATCAGAACTTGTGTCAGATTTGCACTGGTAGGCAATCTCCCTTTACTGGGGAAAATAATACACATACCTAGAAAGAATCTCCGCCCACCATGATCTTGTCCTTTTTCTCCTCAGGCCCTGGCTCCTGGGTGAGGAGGGTGGGAGATGTCTGGGTTGGTAAGAGAGGGGAAAGTGATTCTTTACCGTGCCCATAAAGACCTTTGGATGGGAGCCTGGGCTCTGTTGGGAAGCAGCCCTATTTTGATTTCAGGTTGGAAGTGCAGAAAAGCATCCTGGGTTTAGAGCTGGGAAGAGGGACTTGACTTGTTGATAATCCATTTAGAGACCCTCTACTTCCATTTCTCCCCAGTCTTACTGTCAGGATCCAACTTAAGTCATAAACCACTGAAGTTAGAAAATTCAAGTTCATTGAAGGCAGAACCCAATATTACTATGTTTGTGTTCCAAGAATACACCTTCTCCATAAATATTTGAACAGAGGTTTCTTATGGAGTCCACAAATGAGTGAAGTGGCCCAGTTTGCTTTTTGGTTGCATCTTAAGTTGTATTCTTTCAACATAGAACCATGTTAATTTCATATCAGACAAATATAAAACTTGGCCCAAAGAAAGCTCCATGTACATCAAGAATCTCAAAGAACAGACCACATGTGAGTGTACAAGGATATATTAATCCCCTCAAGGTTGTGGACAGAAATGAGTTCAAGGCAAGGCAAAGACTAGACTTAAAGGAAGGCAAAACCCAGAAGGGATCAGAGCTCAGGTCAGTACTGAGCATCCAAAGTTAGGCACAGACAAAAGTGAGAACACCCCATTCAGTCAGTACCCAGTAAAAAACGTGAGAGCTAAGGACTAGGCCTTGGGACATGCACAAATTTAGGAAGTTAATGGAGGAAGACAGGATGTGGCCTGAAAGAAAGGAGAATCAGAACACTGTCATTTTAAGGAAAGTTTGGGAGGAGATTTCAAGCACAGAGGAGAAGATCAGCAAACTCAGGAGCTGCAAAGGAGAAAGAGAAATGAATCAAAATCATTAGCTTTGATATTGTTTTTGATACTGTTTTAAAGTCATTGTTGACTTTAAAAACTTTACATGGGAACAACTGGACAATGTGTATCAAGAATCAGAAAAAATATGTATACTCTTTGCTCCAATAATTCTACTTTTGGGAGTCTTGCCAAAGAAAATAATCCTAAACTTGGAAGAGTTATCTGCATAAAGATGTTTATTATAGAATTATTTAGAAGAGAGTGGAAATAGCCTAAATGCTCAACAAATAAAAGTGCTGATGGACTAAGTTATGTTCACTTGGTGATATGTTAGTCATTTTAAAAGTATAAAGTCAACTTTTAAATATCATTTCCAACTAAAAAAAGTAAGATTTCCTGGAAGAAATGATTGGTTACAGGTCTGCATCAGGGGAAGTACAAGTTGAGTCTGAAATATCTTGTAAGAAAGCTAGTAAGTGCTTAAAGATTGATGAGACCAAGGCAGAAGGACACAGAAGCCTTTTGAAAGGGCTCTTTTTGGACAAATTTTGGGTAATTTGAGCATCAAAAACAATATTGATAGTAATGGGTTATATTATATTGAATTTTTTAAAAAGGAATTTTTGAGACTGCGGAGGGTGAGAGAGAAAGAAAGAAGGAGGAGGAGGAAGAGGAGGAGGAGGAACTCTTGATTGAAGAATTCCAGATAATAAATGCAAAAGAAATGACAGAATTAGAGAGTCACCATTTTGCAATCTCCAGTATAATAACAAATGCAAGCCTAGATCATCATGGAAGTTAAAACCACTGGGTAAAACATTGTTGGAAGCAAATAGCGAAAAGGTCTTAGGAAATCACACTAGAGCTTATTTTAAGTTGCAAAGTAGAGAGATTTGATGAACTCCATCTTAACCAAGCTATCAAGCCTAGCCTCACTAATAAAGAGACAAATGTGTACTATTGGCCTCCCACTGTTGACACACTGGGAGATCCACAACATACCTTATGTAGTGGTCTTTTCAACATTGGAAAGTCTTTTTATTTTTTTAATTTTTAAATTTTTTAATTTAACCTTTATTGTAATTTTTCCCCATTATCATTTAGTCCCCTTATACCCTCCACCCCCAGTAGGAAAGTCTTTTTCAAAATGTTTAATCTAAATCTAATCAGGAGGAAACTATGGGAAAATCCAGAATGTGGGACATTCTACATGACAGCTATGTTGGATGCTTCAAAATAATCAATGCCATGAAAAACAAACTAACAACAATAAAATGGGGAACTCTTTAAGATTAAAAGATACTAAAGAAATTTAAACAAATGCAATGGGGGAATCTTAATTAAATCCTGAATTAAGAATATATACAACATATTGGAGAGAAAATAGGAAAATTTCAGCATAGACTGTATAATAAATACTATTATGATAATGGTTTTATGGCCCCATAGAAGAATGTCTTATTGTTAGGAAATGGCTGCTGAAGTATTTAGAACTAAAGTGTCATGATATTTGCAACTTGCAATCAAATGGTTAAGAAAAAAAGAAAAAAGGATAGAGCCAGTATGGCAAAAATGTTAAAAATGAGTGAATCTAAGTGAAGGGTATACAGAGTTCCACTGCACTTCCTTTGAGCTTTTCTGTAGGTTTGAAATTCTTTGAAAAAGGAGTTGGAAGAAATTTTTTTAAAAAAGCACCCCAAAATGGAGAAATTGTGCAATACTAAATTAAAAAATAAAAACAAAATTGTGTATACCACAATTATAGCTCTATAAAATAAGAACAAGATAAAAGAATCTTCATTTCAACGTTTGTTAAGCTCTTGCCACATGACAGGCTCTGCGCTAAGTGATGGGAACACCTTGTTCCCCTTCAGAAGCTCCTTTTCTTGCCCTCCCTAGCTTTTCCTCCTAGGATGTTATTTCCCAGTAATGCTAAACATGCCTAGCATGCAAGGCTTCAGTCTGGCCATTTCTACCCCAACCTCAGAGGGGCCTTGCTGTGACAGCCTCACCTCTGTGCCCTTGGCTCTGAGTAAGCGGCCTGGCCCCATGAGGCTCTCAACAATGTCTGCTTTAGGAGTCCACACTCTGGTGGGGGCGGACACTGCACTAACAGATCATTTAAAATAAGATTAAGTACATGGTGCACACAAGGTATTACAGCATTTTAATTATTTAAACTCTACCTTTATGACATCCTCCTCTTTCCTCGCCTATCTTTATTTCATACTCTTCTCTACTATGGGTCCTCCCCTTCTTTCTGGCATTCTGGTTCCCATCTCAATGCCTTTTCTCAGCTCAAGCTAGGTTGATCCTAGCTTGGAATGACCTTTCATTCCTTTGCTTCACTTGTCCAAATCCTACCCAGCTTAGGTCTCTTTTTACAATGTGCACATGTTATTTTTCCTCCTGAAGCCAGGCGGAATGTCAGATATTTCAGAATGCCCTACAGCCCTGCTAATCAAAGTGTGATGGGGGAACCAGCAGCAACTGTATCAGCTGGGAGCCTATTAGAACCACAGTCTGGGACCCTACCCAGCTAGACCTTCAGGATCAGAAACCTCGATCAAACAAGTTCCCTGGGGGATTCATAATCACATTCAAGTTTGAGAAGCGCTGTCTTATAACATCAACTAGAATATGCATAAAGCAGAAACTCTAACATTTTGAGACCTGGGACCCTGGGAATCCTAGAGGATTCTCAGTTTCCCTCCTCCCCGCCCCCCCGCCCCCCCCCCCCCCCCCCATCATTCTCTACTCTCCCAGCTGTGAGTTCCTTCCCTTTGAGGCCTCACGTGGTTCTTGGCTCCCTCAGAAGGTAGATATGAGCCTAAGAGTGAGGGAGTGCCTAGGGGGATGATGATGAGGTGAAGCTGCTACCTTCCTAGCAGAGCCAACAGCAAATGTTGGCGCCTGCTTCAGGGCTACATTTCTGGAGAGAAATTGGCTTTACTTCTAAGACAAAAATGCTTAGTATCCTTTCAGCATCCGAGCCTCAGGGAAAAGAGATTCGTGATAGACAACACTGAAACTGGTTCTAGACTTGATTTATTGACTTGTCTGTTTCTATTTTGTCACTAACCTGATTGACAATGAAACCCGGAATGTGACTTAAAGTGATTTCTGCGTGTGCGTGCGCTGCGGTCAGGGCCCGGTGGGCCTGCTAGAAGCGGGTACTCCCGTGAATGAAAGACGTTTATGCGAGGGGGCTGTTTGCGCGTGGGGAGGACGTGCCTCTAGGAAGTTGATTGTGATCGGATGTGTGTCTGTGTGGCTTGGGAAGCAATGTGGGTTCGAGTTTGTGAGGTGCGAACAGTTGAATGGGAAGAGGTAGGTGGGCCTCCCAGGAGGGAGGGGTAGTTACAGGCACATCTTAGGAACAGCTCCTTCTCTCGCCCTCCCTAGCTTTTCTCCTAGGATATTATTTCCCAGTTAGGGGGCCTTGGGAGAGAGTATGGGAGAGGTGGAAGGTGTCCGAGGGCTCCCCTGTTGGCGTTGCGCACGAACTGGAAGCTGGAGAGAGAGAATTGATGGGGACAGGTGCGCCCCCACTGGGGCATGCGTGGCGACACGTGGAGGATTCATCGATTCATCCTCAGTCGGGGAATCGCATCCCCTGTCCTAGGGTCACCCGCTTCACTTCTCACGAGTCCACACCGCGGGAAGCCTGCGCCCCTCTTCTCCGCGGGGGCCCCGTGAGGTTGATCCTGTTAGGGAGCGGAACCCCGCCCCTCCCTTGTTACTGACGAGCCCCGCCCCCTCCCGCCGCCCAGCGGAGCTCCGCCCTCGCCCCCGCCCCCGCCCCCCGCGCGACCACAGCGCTCCCGCAGCTCAGTCTGGCCGGCCCCATGCTACTGAGCGGAGCCCCTCCGGCGGGCTCCGGCCCGGGGCCGCGGGCACAGGGAAGCGCGGGGAGCGGCCCAGGGGGGTCGCGCCGGGGCGCTGGGGGTACCGGAGCCGGCCCAGGAGGGAGCGGCAGTGGCGGAGTAGCCAAGTGGCTCCGGGAGCACCTGGGCTTCCGTGGGGGGGGCGGGGGCGGAGGTGGGGGCAAGCCGGCGCCCCCGGAGCCGGACTATCGTCCCCCCGTACCCTCCCCGGCCGCACCCCCCGCGCCACCCCCGGACATCCTGGCTGCCTACCGTCTGCAGAAGGAGCGTGACTTCGAAGACCCCTACTCCGGGGGTCCGTCCGGCTCCGTTGCCCTAGCCACCCCCGTGGTCCCCGGCCCCACGCCGCCTCCGCGCCACGGCTCGCCCCCCCACCGCCTTATCCGGGTCGAGACCCCTGGTCCCCCAGCGCCCCCGCCCGAGGAACGGATCTCTGGACCCCCAGGCAGCAGCGACAGGGTGAGTGCCGCGACGGGCGGGGGTGACCAGGCGAAGAGGTGGTTGGTGGTCTAGGGCTTTCGAGAGGGACAAAGGTGGCCTGGCAGGGGCTGGGCCCCTCGGTGTCACGGTTTCTGGCGGACACGATCTTAGTCCCTGACCCCGGGACTCGGAGTCTTCATCCACCTTTGTTCAGATTCTCGACCTACTAATCTGGGACGTGTGCCCCAAACTCTGCTTGTGTCCCTATTATAGTCCCAGGACTTGGTGACCCTCCCCCTCCGGGGCTCTGCTGTCCTCATCGCAGCCCCCTGGAGCCTAAATCTGCCAGGCTTTTTCTAACGGGATTTGAGTCCCCCACCACACCCTGCCCTTTATGGCCTTTCTGCCCCCTGGGAGCAGCAGCTCACTGCCCTTTGATCTCTGACCCCTCCCCCCAGGGCAGAGCCGGCGCTGAGCTCCACTCCTCCTACTCCTCTGGGAGCCCAAGCATCCTTGCAGGTGCTGAAGCCACAGGCAGGAGGCGAAGGCTGGGGTTTCTCCCTGTGGACACAGCAAGAGCTGGCCTTTACCTCAAGCAGTCGGACTGGAGCCGGGCAGACTGTTGTTCTCAGGAAGCCAGGACAGGGAATATGCAGCTCTGTGCTAAGGATGCTGACCACTGAGGTTCAGGCAGACCCACTATGGCACTCCTTCCCTTGGCCTCCCAGGTGTGGGGACAGTCAGTGCTCAGAACCTGTTGTCCGGAAGGGGCTAAGCAGCTGAAACCAATCCTCTTCTCCTCTTGGACTCCCCCTCTCTTAGTTTATTCTGAAGGTGGCTAGAGCCTTTCATGGATCTGCAGGCTTGGGATAGAAAGGAGAGCCTGGCATTCACTGTTCCTGAGAACATCCACTGTGCCTCAGAGGGCTCTGGTGGAGAAGCCACCCCTTGCTCAACCTCATTTCGGCCTCTCCCTCCTTGGCAGCTGAAAGCCATCCCAGGTCCCTCTAGCCTTAAGTTCTATGATACTCCAGGCTGCTCTGGCCCCGTTGTCCTTCTTCACTCACCCCTGGGAGGCCAACTCCCCCTGAGGAAAGGCTTATTCCCCTTTTCCTCAGTTTTATTGGATTGGACAGCAACGTTGCTGTCCGAATCCGCTGGCTCCAGGGTTGAAGCTTCCAGCCAAGAGAGTAACGTTCTGCCTGATTTCCTGGATAAGAGAGTTATGTCAGGGTCAGAGCAGGAGCCTTAGGAATGTGAATTATTTTTTCTCCTGGTTCTTGCCATGGGGCATGGCTGCCCATCCTGGGTTAGGACCCTTAGCCGGCAGAAGGAGGCTGTGCCTTCACCACATGTCCTTAGTCTTCTCTTTTTCCTAATTGTCCCCCGCTCTTGGTTAACGTGATGGCGGTGGTGGCAGTAAGGCAGAGGGAGCATTAGACCTTGTTCTTACTATTGGCCAGTTAATCTCCTCCTCCCTGCTCACAACCCATTGGCATGTGGGCCTGAGCTGTTCCTGGCCCTCTTCCTCTTAGACTAGCAAGCCGTGGGCTCCTCTAGGACAGCGACCATGTTTTCCTCATGTCTGTGTCTTCCAAGTGATTGACACAATGCTTGGCATAAAAAAAGGTGCATAAATATATCCCGAATGGTGACTGTCCTTTGCCAGGGTGACCCGAGGGTCAGAGAGTCCCCTTATACATTTCCCCACAAAGACCGCAGAATGAAGTGGCTGTGCCCACGCAACTGCACAGAGACCTACAGCCTCTTCTCCCTGACAGTGTCCATACCTCACCCTGGGTCAGCTCCATGATCTCTTGGCTGTTCAGACTTTGGGGGCCAAGAGGTGTCTGATTCCTTTGTCAGCTGCAGGGACAGGAACAAAATCCAGCAGGATCTCCTGGGAGCCACACAATCTGTGGTGTCTTCACTGGGTGTGATGAGAAGGACCCAGGGTGCCATCCAAGATGGCTCAGGGGCCGGGACGCTGTTTCCATGGGCCCTGACATGGGGCCTCCCACCATTCAGAGAGAGCAGCTCCACCCCCTTCACAGCAAAGTTTGGGGGACTCCAGGGTCTTCCCTTTGGAGGAGCCTAGACAAGATACCTGAGCCATTTGCCCTAAATCCAACTGCCAGCACACGCCTGCAGAGCTCACACGCAGTTGCTGCCCCGGACAGTGAGCTGGCCTGGCTCTGGCTCTTGAGGTGGTGTGGAGCCGGTTTTTCTGTTCTGTGTGGCTACTTTCTCCCTATTCTCTGTTCTCCCTCTCTCAGCCCTGCAGGTCCTCTTGGCTTTTGGGTCACTTCCTGAGATGAGGTATGGACTGAGGACCAGGCTGTGCCTTGGAATGGTCAATTTCTCTCCTTCTCCTGCAACCCAGGGACTGGTGCTAGAGGAGCCAGAACTCTTCTGAGAGGGGCTGGGTTGTGCAGTTTGATGAAATAGGTGGAAATGCTTCTGTGATGAGCCAGAGAGATTGAGGGGAATTGAGCTCAGTGACTATCAGGTAGGAGAGAATGGGGACCTAGACAGGACCCTGAGAGGCCCAGGGGGCTCACAACCTTCTCATATGCAGGGCTCTGGCTGCTGGCCTACCCTGAGACCCATTGCTGCAGTTGGCAGGGGTACAAGGGTGGCCATCTGGGCAGGCCTGGCAGGACAGGTGTGGGAGCAGCAGGAGCCCCGCCCTGCATGGGATGGGAAGGCCGGGAGTTGCCATCTGGTCACAGGAAGAGCTCCCTCATGGTGTTGGGCCCTTTCTGGCCTCCAGGTTGTGCTCTGACAGAGGGGTTAGAGAGCTAGGCCTTCCCTTGCTTTGCTCCCTTTTATCAGACCTTCAATAGGGAAAACCTGGTCTAGGAAAGGGGGATGGGGATGGGAAAGGGGCCCTGATTAGATGAAGCTTAGAACTGTCTGTGGCCATCTGCACAATGTCCTTTGCCTCCATCATGCCAAGATGTGTGTGTGTGTGTGTGTGTGTGTGTGTGTGTGTGTGTGTGAGAGAGAGAGAGAGAGAGAGAGAGAGAGAGAGGTGATGGGAACAATAAGACAGGCACCCTGTATGAAGTGAAACTAGGGCTCTTGTTCTTAGCTCATGGAGGCATCTCTGGGGCTCATGAACCTCCAGAAATTATGCAGATATTTGGGTACATGAGCATTTTTTCTGGGAAAAGGCTCACAGCTCTCAGATTCTCACAGGGGTTCACAGGGCCCAAAATATTAAGAACTTAAAAAAATAGATGTACCTCATAGATGGTATCCACATGGACTTAGATCCTGCAGGCCCAAATTCAGAAGGAGTGAACAGACAGGTAGGAAGAGTATAGTAAAGTGAAGGAGATGTTCAGGTGTCTGAAATCTAACAAGACATGCCTGCCCTGTGGTTAGAAGGAGGGGTAGAGGCCCTTCCTTACCCAGTGTTCATTGAGTGTTTATGTATCATTAAGTGACACCTCGGTGCTGAAAGTGTCTCTCCACTTAGAAGACTTGGTCCTTGCCTTTTTTGAGTTTGCGTGTTTGCTTTAATTTTCCTTGTTATGACTTCCACAGAGTCTGCAGGTCTGATCTGTTTATCTCACATGTGGCCTCCAGTAGAAGTAGAAAGAGGAGAAGAGAAGGGTCCAGATCAGGGACCCTTGGGGGGCTGGTTAGACCTCTTAACCCTTTGTGGCCTGAGCTGTCCATCTGTGCTGCTGTTGGTGCTTCAGGGAGGGCTGAGGCCTACAGTCTGTGGGGTTGTATGGCAGGTCTGTCCACTCTACCCAGTGCCACCTCAGCCCTGGCGTTGTACCCATTGGGAGATGGGAACAACTGGGACCCTGTGGACTGTGAATGAGAATGGGAGCAGCCGGTTGTAGCCTGGGCTTGGAGGGGGTGCCTGCTGCCCGCTCCAGTGGCCCTCATCACAGAACCAGTGTGATACCATGTGACAACAGAGGCGAGGCCCGGTCCCTACATGCAGTGAGCCTGTGGTGCCTCCAGAGCCCGGGTCCCAGATATGGGGCTTCACGACCCCTCAAGAGGCTTCAGTCTTTTGGAGCCTGTTCTGTCATCACTGTGAGCTCCTGCAGGACCCAGGAATTTGGTCTTTTCCTTTTTAATATAATGGCAGGCATTTACTGAGCGCTTACCATGTGTCTGGTACCATTTTGAAGTGGCTGACATGTATGAGGCCGGTTGATCCTTACAACAACCCTATGAGGAAAATTCAGTTACTATCCCCAGGTTATACACGGGGAGGCTGAAGCATAGGAATGTTGGGCCACACTTGCATGATTTCACAGCTAGCAAGTAGGAGAGCCGAGGCTGACAACCAGGCAGCCTGCCTCCAGACTGGCTGCCAGTGCTGTGCCAGGACCCTCACGCTCTCGGAGAGGAGCCCTGCAGAGCAGAGGTGTTCACTAAGCATGTGCTAACGAACAAGGGGAAGGAGGCTCGGAGGAGGAAAGAGGAGTGCATTCTGGGCTGCGTTTGCCAATTTCTGAATGATGAAGGCCCCCACTTGCCACCCAGTCTTTAGGTAGCCACAGACACACCTGGTAACGGTCTTAAAAGGGCTGGTGGCATCAATTGCATGTCTGTGGTGTTTGATTGTTTTATAAGGATGGCATTGCTTTGTAATTAGAAAGGATAGTAACAAATTTGTTTCATATGAAGAAATTTCCCTGGCAGATACAATTGGGACAGGCATTCCAATAAGTGGGAACTGAGGGTACAAAAAGTTTTGATTTCAGGGGAGTTAAATAGTATACCATTCCCCTAACTGACAAACTTTCAGTTAAAAAGGATTTCATAGTATTAAATACTTTGGACAAATGTGCAATTAAACAAAATTAGACTGCTCCCTTTGCTACAGGATTTCTCAGAGACTTTAGCATGCTAATGTCTATTTGTTGCTGCATTTCCCAATTTTTTGTAAAATCTGTGGCAAGACACTGAGAGTCAGGAGACCTGGATCCCGGTCTTATCTCTGCAGCTACAAGCTGTGCGCCCTAGACAAGTACCTATATTCTGGGGCCTTAATCCCTGAATATAAAAAATTATCACCAGGGCTAACATTTATTGAGCACTGACTATGGGCCAGCCTTTGGGCCAGGGACTTTTACACTCATCATCCTCTTCCCAACCTCTGAGGTAGGTATTAATACTATCCCCATTTTACAGATAAAAAACCAGAGGCTTCCAGACATTAAATGTAAACTAAAGAAATGGGGGAAAGGGGCAGTAGTAGATTTGGGGGACCTTGCAGAGCCAAACCCTATGATGTCTGTCCCCTTGCTCCCCCTGGGCTCACAAGCCCCATGGGGGGGCGGAGGTCAGGGACTCGTAGCAGGGCCCAGCTGCGGAGGGGAGGGTGGAACCAGATGGCGGGCCTGCCGCCACCTCAGGAGAGGATTGCGCAGGAAGGAGCGTCAAAGCCTGACAGCTGCTCCAGGAGGGGCACTGCCCACTCGGAACAGGCACAGGGGCCGACTCCTGGAGGGACCCTGCTGGACAATAGGGAGGAGGGGGATCTGGTGGGCAGGGAGTATGGGGATAAGGGGGTCCTCTGGGCAGAGCTACTTACATGTTAGTTTGGAAATAGTTCAGCATTTTAACAGCATTGTGACTCTACCAGAGGGTTACCTAAATATCAGCCCTGGTCTTAGTGCTTCTCTGTTAGTTTCTCCTCCTGCCTTTGAGCCAGAGGCTTTGATCCCCATTCCTTTGTCCATTCTGCTCCTCCAGCTGCTACTGGTCGGTGAGAGTTCGGATGAATGGGGATCTGAGAGTCTGTGAGTCTGGGAAGAGAAGGAGGCCCGTTGAGCCTCCAGGAAATGTGCACTGAGCACCCACTGTGTGCCAGGCTCTGTGATGGGCATGGTGCACAACAGTGAGCACATTCGAGTCCGGTAACGGGCCCATGCACAAAATGCATTGTGGTAGGGCACAGGTGTCAGAAGCAGCTTCCCCCGCTGAGCAGTTTTACCTCTCTGATTGACCTAGAAGCCCCTGGGAAAGCAGGCCTGGCCTATGACAGGGATCCTCTATGTCCAGAGCAGGTGCCCGTCCTGCCTGGCTTCCCAGCAGGTGTCTCTGCTGCTGCTCCCGACCCCTAGCCCTGTGGGTGGCTCCTCTAGGCCCACCAGTCCAGGGGGGACAAGCTGGGCTTCCCGGAGCAGGGTGTGGAGCCAGGAGTGGAACAGAGGAGCCATTGAGCTGCCCACAGAGCTGCCACCTGGGCGCCCACAGGGACCAAGGGCTGGCGCTAGGGAGGCCCACGCTGGACTGGGAGGAGTCGTAGCTCTAGGCACTGGCCCAGGACTCCAGTGGGAAGGGCGCTGCATGCGGCTCTGACCAGGCTTGGTGAGGGAAGGACTGGGGGACTCTGTGGAGTGTGCGAGGGCGGGAGGTGCTTGGGCCACATGCTTCGGTTCACTGAGCAGCTTCCAGGGTCTCAATCCCCTTGTCTGTTCCCCCACCCCACTCAGATTTATGCTTCCACCGTCTTCTGAATGAACCAGAAAATGTGCTCCTTTGTCCATTCTTTCTGTTTTATGGGAACTGATTTACTGAGCACTTTTAGGCCCTGGGAATTTAGCAGTGAACATGGTTCCTGCCCTCAGGAAGCTCACAGTCTGCAGGAAGACAGCTAATAAAACAAGTATTTACTACACATGTGATGATAACTCAGCTCAGAGGCACCTAACCAGACCCGGGGAGAGAATGGACAGGCTTTTTTCTGAAGAGAGAAAAGAATCTGATTCAGGCAGAGGGAAAGCTTTTGAAATGAGAAAGAGAACATAGAGTTTTCAGGTAACAAAGTGATTTGAGATGGGTGAAGAGAAGCCAGAGAGGAAAATAGAATCTTTAAATCTCTTTAACTATGGACTTTTTTTGTAGCCACTGGAGAGCCATTGCAAGGTTTAAGGATAGCATGTCTGTTGATTCAGTTACTGTTAAGGAGCTGCCATGTGTGAGCGTGAGGCTGGGTGCCAGCTGGGCTGGGTACCCAACAGACTGGCTCCAGAGCCCCCTTGGTCAAGTGGGTGGGGCCGATTGGGGGCCTTGCCAGCTGGCCTGGGAGGAAGCAGCCTGGGGAAGGAGGGGGTGAGCGGATTTCTTTTCTTTACTTGGAGGAAGGAGGATGAGGTGCGGTGGGCTCCAAGGGAGATAGGCAGCAGTCTAGTGGAAACATTTTTCTAGTGCCTACTGTGAGCCGGGTGCTTATTGGAGCTGGAGAGACAAAAATGGTAAAGAGCTCCAGGCTAGTGGATGATATGGTGGTGGCAGTCTTCTTGGAAGCAGGCAGAGATTTGAGGGAGGGAAGGAGCTGGGTGGCTTGGCAAGCACAAAGTGGAATAAGTTGGGAGCTGACAAACTGAAGGATGAGGTGGTAGGAGCCTTTGGGATGTGCTTTAGACACCCCGGAGGGGCTTGCAGCAGTCTAAGCAACATGAAGAACGTGCCTCTGAGGTGGGAGGTTTCCGTTTTCCATCTCTATCTTGCTAGGGGTCCCAAATCTCCTAACCCAGGGCAGGGGGGTGACCCCTACAGCCTCCTTGCCCAACTGGCTCCCACAGTCCTGAGCTGTGGGATCTTGGGCCAGAGCCAAAGCCTAGACCGGGAATCCAGAAGAGGCAGGAGTGGCCCTTCCCCATGCTGCTGGCCCCAGAGCCACCTCTCGTCAATGCCTGTCAACTCCCTTGCAGCGCTCCCCTGAGGGGCTGGGGCTGGCAGCCCTGGGTGGGCTGGGCTCTGTCTGCCTCAGCCAGTCCTCCCCTCCCGGCCCTCCAGGAGCCTGTGCCCAGCTCGGAGAAAGGCTCTATTGTCCTCAGCTGCACCCCGCCCTAAGCACCTTGAACTCCTCTGCAGGGTTTGTGGCTTGCGGTTCCCTCTCTTTTGACTGGGAGCAGGGACAGAGGGGTGACGGTGAGCCACTAGTGTGGGAGAAAGTGGGACGTGGAGGACCAAGGCCAGGCCTTTCCTGTCACTGTCCCCTAGGAGCCTAGGGGATTTCAGCAGAGCCCAAATCCTGGCTTTCCTCATGGCTGTCCCAGTGTTGTCCTTCTCTTGGGACAGCCAAGATGCCCACTGGTGCCAGGCTGGCAGCATGATTTTCTACAAAGGGCACAGGTTCTGATCCTGGTTCCTCCATTTATGCGGGATGGCCTTGGGCATGTTGTTCCCTACCTGCTCTGAGTTTCCATTTCCTTAACATGGGGATAATACCCACATGATGATATGATGGGTGTTGTGTAGATAAACCTACAAAACTGTGGCATAAAGTGGGTACTCAGTCATTATGTTCTTGATGGTCAGCACATATATTTTTTGTTCAGCACCTGGTAACAGTGGTAGACATGGACCAAGCTAATCTCCACATTGCCCACTGTGCCCTGATCAGTCTTTGAACTCTTCCAACACCACTGTAACCAGTTCTCTGAATTGACCCCCTCTGTGGACCACCTGGTGTGAGATTTGCCCTGCTGGGACCCTGACTGAGGCCAACCTTAGGACCCATAGCCTCATTCTGGCCTTTTAGCCTAGGAGATGGCCCAGAGGCACAAAATTAACAGAAAAGACAGTACCAGTCTTCAGCAACCTAGTGGGAGAGGCCTGCAAAGGAAGAGCCAGAGCTTGTCCCCACCTAAGCTCAGATTCTTCCCTTGGGTACTTGGGGCTTTGGTTCTAAGGTCAGCTGTCCAGGACTCTTGCTCCTGTGGATAGAGTACCTGGGGAGACGCAGAGCTATCTCTCAGATGTCTGAAGCCTGCTCTCTTCCCATAGTTGGCAATCCTAGAAGACTACGCAGACCCATTTGATGTCCAGGAGACTGGTGATGGCCCAGTAGGAGCTTCAGGAGCCCCAGAGAAGGTCCCAGAAAATGATGGCTATATGGAGCCCTATGAGGCCCAAAAGATGATGGCCGGTAAGTAATAGAGTCACAAAGCGGGTTAGGGGGATTGTTCCCTGAGGCTTGAGTACTGCAAAACGAGCCCTGGCACCCGTACATCTAACAACTGATTCCTTGGTCTTCAGAAAATATGGAGAATGCCTTTGCTGGGGTCCTCGGGAAAGGTGACCACTGCTTTCAAGATAGTCCCTTTGGAGAAGGAGCTGTGATTTGTGGTGCCTGAGACCTGAGTTGGTAGAGAAGACCACACAACCAAAGCTCAGACAGATGGAAGCATTTGGGATAGTCAGAAGGGCAAGATAGTGGTGTGGGCTGGGGTGGGGGGGCGGGGGCGGGTCATTGGTCCAAAAGAGAATCACTAGCTTTAGGGAAGGTGGTAAATTTGAAATGATGTGATGTCAAAGTGAAACCTCTTCAAGACAATTGGAAACGCATGACTATAAATGCAGACGCAAAGGGTTCCATGATACTTGGCAAGTAGTTCAAGGAGTGAGGGCAGGAAGAAATGAGTAAGACCTGGCCCTGGGGACAGAGATTGAGAAAAGATCCATGGAAAGACCACAAGGGGGTGATCAGAGAGGAGGACACAGGTGAGTCAGTCTAAGCCAAGGCCCTGGGCAGGATGAAAGGAAGATTTGTTCAGAGGTAAATAATCTTCGTGCTGGACATACAGGAGAGGCAAGACAAGAAAGGCCAAGAGGGGCAGTGAAAGGCATTGAAGGCTGCAATGAGGTGCTTGGACTTGCTCCAAAAGGGGGAGGGGAACCATTATGGATTCTTGAGCAAGAAAAGAATAGGACAAATATGGCATTTTAAGAGGATTAAAGAGGCTTTGGTGTACAGACTAGAAAAACTGGGCATTAGAAAGATGAGTTAGCAGGCTATTGTGGAAATTACCGAGGCTTTAAGGAACCAATAATCAACACCCCTTTCTTCCCCTCTGGAGCTTGGAAATAATTGAGAAATGAGATCAAGGAAACAGAAAGATGGAGATTACAATGTCAGCTTTATTACCGATAAAGGTGGTTGGAGAACACTACTTAGCTAGGTCACCACAATGGGCTTCTTAACACTTCACCACAGAATTAAACAAGCCCACTCAGGCTTGGGCAGCGTAGGACAGCTGTAGGCCCCTGCACAGGGGCAGGAGGAGAAAGAACCAGAATGTTCTCTCTCTACAAGAAAGTCAATCAAATAAGCTTCTCTCCCTCCCTGGGAGAGGTGGGTGAGAGGGCAGAGGGCAGTCAGGAGAGTTATTCCACGGAGCCTGTGAAATAGGAGCCTGAGGAGTGGGGGTTCACCCTAGCAGTAATCCAGATGTGGAGAGATGAGGGTGAGACTCATCAGGCGTTGGCAGTGAACAGGCGGGACTCCGAGAATGGAGGAGGGCCAGGACCGAGGAGGGCAGTGTCGTGGACAGAAATGGAGAAAGTGAGAGATGGCCTCCTAGGAGGTCCAGGGTGCCCTGGAATTGATGAGAATATTTGCACATTTTCCTGGGAGCTCCATAGCTTTCATCATAGTTTCCCTGGGGTCAGAAGTCCTAAAGAGAATCGCAGAACAGGCTAGGAGAACTTTTCGGGAAAGTGGTGAGTTTGAAACATGAAAGTGAAACATCTTTATGGCAATTGGAAATATATAGGCGCGAAGGGTTCCACGAGACTGGGCAAGTAGCTCAAGGAGCGAGGGCCTGAAGAAATGAGTAAGACTTGGCCTTGGTAAACAGACCAAGAGAGGATCCAGGGAAAGAAACCAAACGGGATGGTCAGAGAGGAGGACAGTCCATGAAAATGACTTATCAAAGGGGACAATTTCAAGGACAGGGTGGTCAGCAGTATCTGAGTAACAAAGAAGGATTTTCAGATTGCAAAATGGTGTCCCTTGTATCCCTTGGGACCCAAGGAAAGAAGGGGAGTTGGGTTGTTGGGTAGCAAGAAGGAGATGGACTAGGAGAGGACCCCGCCTTGGTTTCCTGAATGGTTAAGCCTCGGCTCTCCAGCCCTTGCTGGCCATTGCAGGATCTTTCTCCTGTCTTTCACTCTGGTGCCTCTGTTGGGTCCCTGCTTCTGGAACCCCAGGGGTGTTTTGAGGGACCCGGGATGTGTGCCCCAGAGCCAGCAGCATCTCCTCTGAAGGAGGCCTGACTCGATGTAGAGGCGCACACCCAGAGGAGCTGAGCCAGGCAGCCAGGGCTGCTCTCACACCTCCCTTCCTGCCTTGCCCTGGTAGAGATCCGGGGCTCCAAGGAGACCGCAGCTCATCCCCTGCCTCTGTATGACACACCCTATGAGCCAGAGGAGGAGGGCGCCACCCCGGAGGGTGAGGGGGCCCCCTGGCCCCGGGAGTCTCGCCTGCCCGAGGATGACGAGAGGCCCCCCGAGGAGTATGACCAACCCTGGGAGTGGAAGAAGGAGCGGATTTCCAAAGCCTTTGCTGGTGAGTCCTGGGTGGAGATGGCAGGTCTGCTGGGGCCTCTGAGCAGCTTTCTGGGCTCAGGGGAATGGAAGGGGCGGAGCCCTGGGACCCGCAGAGGCCCAGGAGGGAAGTGTAGTTGAGTCTGAATCATGGAGAGCTGTGAGTTGGCAGTGGACGCTGTGCCGTGTGCAGGGTCAGGGACTGGGCACAAGAGAAGGATGAAGGTGTCTCCCTGCATCACCACCTCACGGAGGCCAACAGGCTTGGGCCACTTCCATCTTTTCGGGGACCGGATATATTTAAAAATAAAGAAATTCCAAACAAAATTATAAAACTTGTGGCATATGTTAAATACTTGCACTTAACGAAAGAAGGCATTTAACACTAGACAATGAAAACAGCTGCCCATGTAACCTTTAGAGATACCAGCCCTGAGTTAGAGGGCTGTGTCTTCCAGTGGGAGGCATGCCAGACCAGGGGGGCCTACTGCCAGAGGGATTTCTGAGGAGCGAGGACCAGTGGGCAGGGGAGACATCGCCTTTACTGCGTGAGGGTAGGTTTCTTCTGTCGCGAGCACCTCAGTGGCCGTGTCAGGCCAGGAGTCCGGCGTGGAGAGGGGGTGTGTGGGTGGTTTGAGTGAGGGGGCACGAGAGCCTGGAATACAAACACAGCTTTAGCTCCTGGATCCTTGATTCAGTGAGAACATAGAGGATTTAAATGCCATTAGACTTCATTCGCTTTCCCATGTCCCCCTCACTCCTCCTTGGGCAAGAGACTCCTCTTGGAGCTGGACCCTGCTGTTTGCTGTCCTCCCCACCCTGGCAACCAGACTGGGAAACTACAGGTTTCTAATTTGTTCCTGTAAAGCATGCATCACTGAGGATGGGCTGTTTATCTCCAGAAGTCTCCTTGGAGAATCAATACTGTTTGGATTGCCTAATGGGAAAATCTATGCTCGTCATTAGGAAACCTCGTTAGCAGCCCTGGGGCCGCCAGTGGCACCGCTCTCCTGATTGCTGGGGCTCGGGAGTTAGGGTGTGGGAAGTGGAGGACACCACACAAGGCTGGGGGTGCTGGGAGGCTGAGGATATCTGGGTGTGGTGCTGGGAGGCGTGGGCAGCTCCTTGTCCCTCTTTTCCTCCTTTCCTGGTCCCTCTGGTCCCTGGAGGCTTGTGAGAGGTCAAATGAAGGGGACCCAGGGGACTGTCAGAGCCAGGCCCCGCGTCGTGCAGGTTGCCGCCTGAGCCTCCCACCCCCTGCCACCAGCCCGTTGTGGTCAGCGGCCCTGCCCAGCCTCCGAAGGTCCTGTTCCCCATTCAGAAGCTGCCCCTGCCTCTACTCTGACCCTCCTTTCTAGGCTGTCCTGTGTCCTGGCTCTGGGTTTTAGTGTCTCAACTTCTGCCTCTGTCTCTGTCTCTGTCTCTGTTCCTGTCTGTCTCTCTTCTCCCTGCTGCTACTGGCTCCAGTTGACATTAAGGTCATCAAAGACCTACCTTGGCCTCCACCGGTGGGACAGCTAGACAGCAGCCCCTCCCTGCCTGACGGGGACAGGGACATCTCCGGTCCAGCCTCACCCCTTCCCGAGCCCAGCCTGGAGGACGGCAGCGGTGGGTTCTTTGGGGGCTTCTGGCCAGAGTGACGCATGCTTTCACCCCTCAGGCCCTGTGGGCTTGGGTTGGAGGAGCTGAGGTGGGATAGGGTCTGGAGAACCAGGAAGAATCCCTGTTCCTAGAGGAAGAAAGAACGGACAAAGTACACATCCTTCCCCTCACCCCCAAAGGTATGGGTAAGGTGTCTCCTTAGGGAGATCCCTTCCAGTCTTTTCCCCACCATGCCAAAACGCCCAGTATTCTAAATTCACTGGCCAGAGTCTTCAGCAATGCAAATAACTCCTGAGTTTGAGGTGATACTGGCTAGCACAGGAAATGTCTAACCCCAGAGTAAAGGATCTGATCCTCGCATCTGGTGTCTGAAAGACAATAAGGGCTTGAAAGTGCTGCAAGGAGGGGAAGAAAAGTCCAGATGGGGAGAAAGAAGGCACTAAACACGTCACCTATGTTCAGTTTTATCAAGAATGCACAGCCAAGGGTATGTGTGTGCGTCTACACATGTGCACACAGGACTTGAGGACCCATTTGTACATTTGTGTCTGAGTGTGAGTGGGTATTTTATAAATACAGAGTGAAGGTGGGTCTCTGTCACCTGCATATGTGTGCCTGTGCCTGTGTGGCCTGCTGGCTTCAGCAGTCCCTTGTGCAGGCTTAGCACTGGGAGGTCTGGAAAGGCAGAGCTACCTCCACTGGGCTTGGGGGGTGGGGGTGGCGGGGGGGGGCGGGGAGCCCGCGGGCAGCGACCTTGGGGGCGGGGGAGGGGCAGACCAGCTGGCGGCTTTGGGCAGGATTAGCCTGTCAGGATGGCACCAAGGGGAATCGGATAATTGTTCTCAGATCGATAAGTCATTTCTGCAGAATGGCTTGGCAGGGTGATTTGGAGAACGGTAATGAACTCTGAGGAGGAGAAAGAAACAATATTATCAGCGCCGAAGCCACCCTGCGGAGGATGGAATAGGGGAAGGCAGTCAGCTGCTCCAGAGGGAGAAACTTAAGTGGTTTCTCTTGTTGCTTCTCTTCCCTCCCCTCCCAGGGTGGGGACTGGGAGGCTCTGCCTGGGACAGGAGGGCTGAGCCCCACACCTACCCCGACTCCTGCCCCCTCCTGGGGAATGGACCCAGAATTTGGTCCCCAGGGCCAGTCAGGCCCATGAGCATGTCCAGCCCTTCCAGAACATGCCTTTGACCCCTTTTGGCAGGAAATGGGGTGGGGCACTGGTTATTCTGTAGGGATCTACCTATGAGGTCCTCAGAGTCTGTGACTGGTATGTTCCCCACAGCCCAGTTTGAAGGATCTGAGAAGAGCTGCCTGTCACCGGGCCGGGAGGAGAAGGGGCGTCTACCTCCCCGACTCTCTGCAGGGAACCCCAAGTCACCCAAGCCCCTAAGCATGGAGCCCAGCAGCCCCCTGGGGGAGTGGACAGACCCAGCACTGCCTCTGGAAAACCAGGTGTGAGTGTCTGTGTCCAGCTGGGGACTCTGTCTCCTCCCTTCCTCTCCTAGCACTGGCTTGCCTGTAGGGAACACCCAGAATGGGTGGGCCTGGTCAGCCAGGGACCCAGCAGAAATGCCCCCTTCCTCTCTCTCGTCCTCAGCTGGTACCATGGGGCCATCAGTCGAACAGATGCCGAGAACCTGCTCCGGCTGTGCAAAGAGGCCAGCTACCTGGTGCGCAACAGTGAGACCAGCAAGAATGACTTCTCCTTGTCCCTCAAGTGAGTGGGGCAGGTTGGCAGCTTTAGGTAGGGTTAGCCTGTCAAGATGGCACCAAGGATAATCACTGGGAGGACAACCGCCAGGACAAGGGGAGACTCCCGTATTCCTGCCATACCCACTCAAGCAGGGGAGAACCCCATCCCTCAAGAACATTTGCTGACTTGGGGCCAGGCCCTGAGGACCTGGAGTGCTCTGAGCTCAGCCCCTGCTCTCAGTTGAGCTACTGTCCAGCTCAGAAGGGGTCTGTCACTTATTAGCTGTGTGGCCTGGGGCGCCCTTACTTACAAAGTAGGGAAATGACAATAATACTTTCTAGGGACGGATTAAATGAAATAATGTATGGGAAGCAGTTAGTGTGACGCTGAATGCTCATTAAGTTATCGTCATCATCATTATTCAGGGAAGTCCGAGATGTTCTAGAAGCACAGGCAAGGAGATAGAGGAACTTTGCCTGAAAGGATCTGTAGGGGGAGATGGAGGCTGGGTCCTGGGAGGAGGGCAGGCCAGTGAGCAAAAAGTTGTTCTTCACTCTGAAGAAGTTGGCAGGAGGTCTGGCTGCTGGTGGCTGACGGCTGAGCTTTAAAGGGTCCTGGAGGAGGTAGGGAGGCAGGGCCCTCCCGAGCCGTCAGCCTTCCTCCCCGGGAGCAGGTACCCGCAGGCCAGCATCGGCCTCCCAGGCTCTCCTGGCAGGATGACAAGTCCTCTCCTTGGCGCCCAGGAGTCCCCCCTGGGAAAGCCTGCACAGCACATGGCATCCTGTCAGAGTGGTGTGTCCATTCACGTCTGCGCACCCCTTCTGGGGCATCTGTACCACGTCCTACCACATTTCCTGGAGGCAGTATAGACGTACCCCCACTTCAAACAAAACCAAAATATGGAAATTTGGGATACTGAACAGATGCATTCGAAGATCATTATTCAGCTTCACTAAAAGATGATAGAAAAAAAATACAACTATGGCCACAACCTGGGTTTTATTCTTGGGTTTAATCAAACTAGCTATGTGACCCTAGGCAAATCCCTTAATGTCTCTGGGCCTTGTTTCTCTTTTTGCAGAATGTGTTAATGGTTACCTCTAAGGTTTCTTCCAGCTCCCATACTCAGGGAGTCTGTGAATTATCATTAAATCAGAGGAGCATTAGGGGAAAATTCATTTGTCAAAAATGTGATTCACATAACTTCAGGAATATGTATTGTTTTAAAAATTATAGTTAAGGTTCACAAAGCATCTACTGTGTGCCAAGTAGCATATATACCCTCTCTAAACAACTGCCATCCTGCAAAATCAGTCTCTTTTTATAAACAAAAAATAGATTCAAAGAGGCATGTGATTTGTTCAAGGCTACCAGTGAATAAATTTCCAAAAGCAGGATTTGAACTCAGCTCAATCTGATTCTAAAAACCTCGCTGTCCCATCTGTTCCGTGGGACAGCTCCACCCGTCAACAAGTCCGGGACAGTCCCTGGCAAGGGGAGTCTGCAGGGGCCTGGCTCCTGGAGCAGAGCACAGCCGGGAACACAGCCCTGCCTGAGCCTGGGGAGTAAGGGGGCGGGGGCTGGCCTGGACGCCAGGCTCCAGCCCACGCCGATCTGGCCCCGCCAGCATCGGTCTGCCAGGGCCTCGTTTACATATAAATGGCTTCTGGGAAATACAATTATGGTTTCTCTTCTCTCTGTAATGGAAGGGCTTTCACTGGTAATTAAACAGCTTCCTCCAAAAGTCAAGCCAGCCCTTGCCCTGCGGCCCAGCTAGTCCCACCCAGGCTCCCTGAGGGTCTGGCAAGGGTTCTGCTGCCTCCTAATGGACCCTTGGGACTTTGTCCCAGGAGGTCAGTTATCCAGACGGAGGCTGAGCTCTCAGCTTCCAACTCTGGTCTCTGGCTACTTGTTGCCCTTTTATGGCCAGATCTGTCCCCCAAAGATGGACAGTTTTTAGGAGAGGTGATTTTCCCAAGTGGGCTACGGGAAACTGGCCGCCCCAAACTGCGAGGGCGAGGGAAGGCAGGGCCCATGCTGCTGCCCAGTCTCGGGCCTGGGTCTTGGCATAGGGCAGACCGGAGGGGACCACTAACTGCCTTCCTTCTCTACAGTCCCCTGGGGCTGTACATTTTCCTGAGGCCCTTGGCTCCTTTCTCCAGGGCCTATGTGGTCACTGTCAGCCTCAGTGGTTATCTCAGACCTGCAGATGAAGGATGGCCCCACACCCTGACACACACGCCCAGGGCTGGGGCCCCCAGCAGGCTTTACCGGGCACTGTGCTCTGGGGAGAGGAGGTGAGGGGAGGGTGGAGTTAAGGGCCTGTGTTTTCCTCCCATCCCTTTCCTCTCTTCAGTCACCCCACTCTCCCTGCTTTCTCACGGGTGGGCCTAGTGAAATGGGTTCAGTCAGAGCCCTCTCTGTACCCAGGCAGGGGAGGCAAGTGAGGAGGTTTGCCAGCTTCACTTCTCAAGTAGAGGCCTCCCCATGAATCGGCCTCCTCACCAGTCCTACCTCCCATACCTGCTTCTGAGCCATGTCCTTGTCCCCAGGTAGGCTCTGACCAGCAGGGCTCCCCCAAGCAGTGCCAACCATTTGCGTGTGGGTGAGTTTCAGACCTGGGACCTGGCCACCCATGCCGGTGGTAGTTTGGACAAACATTCTTGCTTGGGTACCACCTCCACATCCTCTCTCTAAGGCTGAGGGTACCCAGACGTCTGGGAGATAGCCAGAGCTCGGGGTGGGCGGGTCCTTGTCTTGTGGCCAGGGCCAGGCACTAATGCTGATTTCCTGGACTGTGGCCGGGAGACAGGAGAGGCAGCGGAGCATGTCCTCGCTGAGAAAGAGAATGGGGCTGGGGCTGCCTCCTCATCGATGATGTCAGCCCAGGCCAAAAGGCAGGATGGATGAGCCGGGGGCTTGGCCCAAGGCCCAGTTAGCAGCAGGGTGAAGGGATGTCCCCAGGACAAGGTGGCTGACTTATTTACAGATTTGGGGAGTAGCCTGCCCCCTCCCCTAGCATCTGCAAGAGAGGTCCCCAAACAAGAGTCTTTTGGTTGTCACATCTGTCCACCGCTGTCCTGCCAAGGGTGTTGTGTCTCCACAGCAGTGACCAGGAGCCCCTCACTGGTGTCCTCCCCTACCGCTCAGAGGAGGGGAGGGTGAACTGGTCCTGGCCACACAGGCCGGAAGGCAGGAGTGCCTGGATACCAGGGTTTGAGGAGGCGGGAGGTATTGGTCCCTCCAGTTGCCACCTGCACACACCCTGTACACTCACTAGACACACATTCTTGGCACACCCAGTGCTCTTACCACAAAGCCAATACCTACTGTTACCTGCTCACAAAACCCCCTCCGCCCCCTCCCTGCTTTCTGGACTGACCTCCACCTTCCCTAGTCACTTCCACTCTCTGTTGGTTTGGAAGGAGATATTTGCTGCCAGGATCGGGGAGGGGAGGGAGAATGGAGAGAGCTCCCCCTCACCAGGGTCTCCTTTTCTCTTCCCAGGAGCAGTCAAGGCTTCATGCATATGAAGCTGTCTCGGACCAAGGAAGACAAGTATGTGCTGGGCCAAAACAGCCCGCCATTCAGCAGCGTCCCTGAAATCGTGCACCACTACGCCAGCCGCAAGCTGCCCATTAAGGGGGCTGAGCACATGTCCCTGCTCTACCCTGTGGCCATCCGGACTCTGTAGATGTGAGGCCTGGGCTCTGTGACAGGTCTGGATCCAGTCCTGTGCCTGTCCCCTGGCTACAGGCTGTGGTCCTTCCTGGGGACATGATCTCCCAAGCCTTTCTTCCCCTCTCCCTGGGATCTAGTGGAAGCTGGAGATTCCTTAATTTATTCTAAAGGGGAAAGGGCTACTGAGGCCTTGGAGTAAGAGGTGGCCCAGAGCTGAGAGAGGAATCCCTGGAGAGAAAGGATAGCCCCTGGAGGAAGAGGGCTTCAGAACCGCGGGTCTCCTGTAGAGTTTAAGATCGGCAGCTCCAGAGCCTTTCCGCCTCTGAGGCAGAGGTGGTGACCCCCTTGCCCACCACCCTCTACTCCCCGGGTCAGTGCGGCGTTGAACAGGACGCGGGCCTGAGGGGCTCCCTGGCCGTATTCTTCGCCTCCATCCCCAATCCACCAGCGGGGCTCAGTCCAGAGTCTGGTGTAGAGCTTGGGGATGGCAGACGCCTGGGATGGAGATGGCGTTGGGGCAGGGAGAGGTGGGGAAGGGCTCGGGCCTGAGGGAACTTGTGCGGTCCCCGGGCTGCCCCGGCACCCGGCCAGAGGCAATAAATAAATCCAGTGCTGCCAGGCAGAACCGCGTCCGCGCCTCCTGCTGCGCACTCCCCACCCCCCGGCCCCCACCCCTGGCTGACCGAGTGAGGAGCGGCAAAGCGAGCACAGATCTGTTTATAAATCAGCTCTGGAGCAGACATAGGCCGGCTGTGAAAAGCGCTTTCGAAGCATCAAGTTCCTTCCTTTGACAAGATGTCAAAACATCCACCCAACGCCCCCGTCCTAGCTTGCGGGGCGGGGTGCCGGGGGGGGGGGGCGGGTAGACCCCGGAGCTGGCGGGCCTCGCGGCGCCCCCTCCCCGCCGCGCTAAGGAGCGCGGCTACCCAGGAGCACATCCAATTTCCTGCCTACAGCCATTTGTCTGGGAGGAGGGGAGCCGTGGAGAGACAAAGAGGCACCGCGCCAGGCGGGGGGAGTGGGGTGGCCTTGCCACGCGGAAGCCGCGCGCCCGCGGAGCTGGGAAAGCTGGCACAGCCTACTGTGTTCCCTTTCCAAAGGAAGCCAGGGCCTGTCGCGCCTCCCTCATTCCGTGAAATATGGTTTGGCCCCCGGGGACCTGCAGCCAGTGAGCCTGGGCCCAAATCCGCCTCCTGGCTGTGGCTGCGGTTTGCGGGGCCGTCCACGCGCGCCCTCTGCTGGCCATGCCCCTAACCTCGGGTCCTGGGCGCGGGGCCACACCCGCCTGCGCCCCGGTGGCGCCCCTGCACTCGCCTCTGGCTGCAACCCTCCTAGGCCTGTGGGCCCAGCCCCCGGGGAATACTTACTAGGCCGCCAGGCGGAGCTGCTGTCAAGCCACTCCAGGCCCGCCCTCCTGCTCCCAGTGGCAGCCTGAACAAAAACTTCCCGAAGGGCTGAGCACACATACGCACACCCCTCAGGGACAGCTGCCTTGGGAGGGCACCTGAGGGCCTCCTCCATAACCTAAATCTGCAATTCACAAGTGTGATGTGGAATCATAGGATTTTGGATTTTCTAATTTAGTGGTTAATTTATTGAAATCGAGGATATGCGATCTGACAAATGTAAGGATTCTGTGGGGATGGTTGAAAGAATCACTTGAAATTGGACACTGCTTCAGCAATTCCCTCATAGAGGCTTGGCCTATCTTTAAGTGTACTTGGAGGGCACTCACTCATTTTGGCAGATGCCAAAACAGAGTTCTAAAAAGGTTAGGTGATGTGCTCATCTGTCTTCTTGCTATCATCACACTACCTGGTACTCAGAGAAGGGCTGGGAGTAACAGGACCTGGAGCAGGCCAGGCCATCTCTGCCTCCCTCTAGCCTCCTGCTGTCTCTCAGCATTCCCCCTCTCCCCGCTCACACACACACCCTTGCGCCCAGCCCACTTTCTCTAGCACCCCTCACACCTCTCTCTCCATCTCCGGATCAGGCTTCAGAAGCCTCACGCTAGCCACTCAGGCCCTCTGTCAGGAAGAGCCAGGAAAGGAAGGAGTCACTAGCTGGGCGGGTTCCTTTATTCAGTGGATACTTCTCAAGCAGAGAATGTCTGCATCAGCCTATGTTAACAGGCTGGTCAACTGGCTGCTTTTGTCAGTACCTACCCCTCCCTGGGGCAGAATGAAGAAACCCAGAGTGCAGGAAAGTGGTTTATTTGTAAAGGAAGAGAGAAGTGCTGAAGAGCACTACATAGATATTGGGCCAGATTCTGACTACAGTACCTGTTTAAGAACTTGGGTAGAGAAGATAAATTGTGCTGTTAAATGGGGATGCTGTGGGGTTCCTATAAATTGCTCTCTATGGGTTCAGCCTCTACCCATTTCAAGTCATTTGCCAGCCCTTTTGACAGTGGGAAGCCCAGAGGAGGGGGAGGATTTAGGGGAGGGATTCTAAGATGCCAGCATCTGTGCTCCCACTTCATCCTTAGGCTCACAGCTTCCTACACAGACACACACAAACACACACACACCCCACCCAGTCAGATCCAGTCTTTTGAATTTTTTTAGTTTGGAAGAAGAGGTGTCACTTTGCCCCAAAACGGTAATAGCTCCCAACCTCTAGTCAGTCCCCAGACAGTGCCTCCCAATTCTCCTGGCTGAGACGTTATGAACCTGGGGGTCCCTGAACCCCCATAGGGTGATGGACCATGGCCACCTGGACCAAGGTCAGGAGGTAGGAATGGGGAGAAGGCAGAGGGAGCCAGAAACAGGAAGTACAGAGGCGAGGTGAGGTGTGGCCCAAACCCCTGCCCAGCTGAGCGGTGGGTGAAGCCCCTGGACAGGAGGCCTAGAAGTTCTTGTAATGGTGGGAGAAATGAGTTCGGTCCTGCCTGTTGATGAGCTGACAGGCCTTTTCTACATTCTTGGTCATGCCAGGAGGGCCGCAGCTGAACACTCCAATCTTCCGGACCTGTTGGGAGAAGAAGTGAAGGCTAGCTCAGCGTCCATGTTAAAGCCATGAAGAATCCTTGATGAGGGCTCATTCCATGTTCCTAATGAAGGTTTGCTTCACCGTGCATGATGAGGGCCAGTTCTGCGTTTTTAAATCTAACTCGGTTTTGGTAGACCTGCTCTCTGTGGGTCCAGCCTCTACTTTCCAGGGCATTTGCCAGCTTCAAGCGCAAGCAAGATCAGTTTTTCTGATAGGGGCTGGGTTAATCAATGCTCAAGTTGAGGTATAGCTTTGTGTCTCATTGAGGATTAACCCAGTGTTTATGAAAGCAGTGGCTTGCCCACTGTTCACAATGAAGATTAGCTCAGTGTCCAGCGTGAGGCCTGGCTCAATATTAGTGATAAGGGTAGCTCTGCATTTATGGTGAGGACTAGCTCAATCATGGAGCTTTCCTTTCGAACAAGGCATCACAGCTTCAGAAGCCGCAAGTTCTCATCGCCTGCCTCCCCCCTTAGGCCCTCAGGGTGATCCCCACTTCTTTCCAAATTCACTACCCCGCCAACTTCCCAGGGGATGATGTGTTCTCTTCGGCAATTTCTTCCCTGATGAAGCAGGTTTGGGAGCTTTGCTCAAACCCCAGATGATAAACTGAAGAGAACCTGGATATGGGGTGGGGACTGACCTGTGGATGAACCTCCTGCAGGGAGTTGAAGAAGGGCTCGAAGGGGGGGCGACCAAAGTGGGTGACAGAGCGCAGGCCCGTGAACAGACTCCGGTTCAGTACCTTCTGGAAGTGCCGCTCACAGATGTACTGGGGGCACAGGGGCAGGTAAGGCCACGAACAATCAGAGACAGTGCCGAGCCCAAACCAGCCCAACGCCTGGTGTGGGGAGGGAGCTGGAGGCTGAGTATTGGAGTCACCAGCTCTGTGCCTCCTGGCAACGGAGCCTGCTGTCCACCCGCCGGCCCTGGCCATCCTGCCTCACCCTGCTAACCCACACACACCCACCGAGCTGCCCTGCCCGGCTGGCGCTGACGTACCAGCATGGTGGTCCTGAGGTCGAACTTCTCAGCCAGCTGGGTTATATAAATGTGCACGGACACCAGGTCCTGGCAGTCATTCTCCTCCACCTCCCGGATGATGTCAGCCAGCCACTCGAACTGCCGCTGGGTCCGCGTCACCCAGATGAAATAGATCTGGGGACAGGGTTGGAGCTTACGACCCAGCTCAGCTCAGGCTCCCTATATCGCAGGAACCAACACCCCAATAGAACTCTTCTGGCCAGTTTGTGCCCAGGATGTCTGGGGAGATGGAGTGTATGGGGCTACAGGGCCAGGCTCTGGGACAGGAGAGGAGTTGCCCCAGGGCATGGAGAGGTGCAAGTGAGTGACAGCCTGAGACCCCTCAAGGCCTGATGGGGTGGAAGCAGCTTTTTCATACTGAGCCTGTCCTGCCACTCTCTCCAATGGGCCCTCCTTAGGCCGCTAGGCTCCGACCCAACCCTAGCCCAGAGGGAGAGGATCCCACTAAGGGGATTGTCATAGAACATCCCCAGGGGAGACCCAGTGGGCTGCCTGGAGGAGATGGGAATGGACTCAAAGAGAGACCGCAGGGGGCGGCAGGGGGCGGGGATGAAGCTTCCCTTGGAGGACCCATCTCTAGCTTCTGATGCAGAGAAGTGGGACTGTGTGGGTTAAGGAGCATAGGCAGAGCTGGCTTGGGAGCAGGAACTGTCTGTCACCCTCTGAATGCTGACAACATAGGGGCAGGGCCTCTGCCTGTTCCATTCTTGTGCTCCTGAGTCACCCGCCAGGCCTAGAGAGACAAGCAGGTACCTGCCACCAGGTTCAGGCCAGGGTAAAAGAGCGCGGTGCGGATGGGGCCTGAGGGCCTGGGCTGCCTTTGCAGCCAGCCATGCCCTTCAGCCCTGCCTACCACCACCTCTGCTCTCTTTCTCTCGGGAGCAAAGCCAGTTTCACTTGTGTCCCACCTCAAGCCCCACCCCCGGTGTGCCCTTCCTTCTCCCAGTCTGACAGTGCCTCCCTCAGACGCTAGCCTCCTCTGTAAGAGGGAATGGGTTTCTTTACCCCTCTGCAACCCTGCCTGGAGGGATTCCCAGAAGCAAACCTTGTGTGGGGTGCCTCATAACTGAGGGCAGGAACCTGGGGACACTAGCAAACTAACTCTGTCCTTGTGGATTGGGGGATTTCTTGACCACCACCTACCTGCCCCACCACCCCGGGTCAGGCCAGCTTGGCCTTGTCCAAACCAGGGAGACCATAAACAGAGGCAGGAAAGGCAGACACAGATGGACACAGTGATAGGGAGCAGGGGACATGGGCTGGCTGGAGGAGGGGGCACTTGCCTTCTTACAGAACACTTGGTAGCTGACCGATGACTTGAAGACCAGGTCTTTGAGAATGGAGGCAAAGGGGGTGACCCCAATGCCCCCTCCCACCAGCACTGACACCTCGAACTTATGCCACTCCTGGTGGCCCTCTCCGAATGGTCCGTCAAGGTACAACTGCAGGGAGGGAAGTGGGTTTGAGTTAAGCTCTCAGCTACCACCATATTTCTGAAGCCAGAAATGAGAGGCAAGATAGGGCAGGTAGGTTTGTGGAATGAGGGGGAAGAGGGAGGCTGTGGTTTTATCTGGAACAGCCAGCCTCTGGACAGGGGACGGGAGGAACACAGTGGGGCGTCTGTTGCTGCAGGGCCCAGGCCTGCTTAGGGGATAATGGGAACATGTGGCACATCTGGCCTGGGTCTGGGCACCTTTGGGTATTTGGCAGAGCCGTCCGGCGAGGGCGAGTAGATTTCCCTGAGGCGAGTGGTCCAGGGCCCCGCCGCCCGGATGTGCAGGCTGAGCGTGTCCTCGTGGGGAGCTGAAGTCAGCGTGAAGGGGTGGTACTCGGTGGTTCCCAGAGCCAAGCAGGCGATCCGCACCCACTGTCCTGACTTGTACTCAAAGCCCTCGGGCCGCTGAAACTGCAGGTGGGTCACTCCTAAGGAGGGGAGGTGGGCGGGAGGCTGCTGTCCTGAGCCCAGCAACAGTGTGGTCTCCAGAGAGTTCCCCGAGCTGCACTCTCAGCTCCGTTTTTGGAATACATCAGGGGGATCTCCGCCCATCAGAAGTCATTACTGCCCTCAGGCCATGTCTGCCCTAAGGAGGTGCTGGTGGTCAGTAGGGCCAGGGACAGCCTGACCTGGGCTCCTCCTCCCTGTTGTGAGAGAAGCTCAGGACCCCAGGCAAAGAGCCTCTCTTACCAGCTCCCTCATCCCTTCCTCCCCAAGGCCCCTGCCAACCCCACTGGGCCAGGCTAGGAGATTGCAAGGTCCAGGCTCTGCTCTGCTTCCTCAGGACCACCAAGCTGGTCCTCTGGCAGCCTCTAGGCTTGTACCTGAAGGCAGCAGCTCCGCCTTCACCACGCTGATCTCTACCTTCTTCCGGCTGAGGCTCACCAGCTTGTCCCCCACATAGATTAGTGCCGGGACCAAGAAGAAGATGTGGAAACGAGGCATCTGGATCAGAGCGAAGCTGCCATGGACGATGAGCTGAATCGAGTGAAGAATGCAGATCAGACCCAGCCACACCGACACCAGCATCTGAGGCCAGCTCGGGGCTTCGACCCCTGTGTCCCTCCCCCAGTCACATCCAATCCCCCCACCTCACCATGTGCCATGCTCCTTCTAGGTTCCAAAACCTAACCATTCCCAACACCCTCTTCCAAAGTGTCCATGATGAACAAGACTATGTTCATCTCTGACACCATCCTAGATCAAGCCATGTGGACTCTCCCCTGCACTCATGCAGGAGCCTCCTAACTGGTTTTCCACTGGTTGCCTTCCTGTGATCGATTCTCTTCAAGGCAGCCAGGGTGACTTTTTTAAAAAAGTCTGTTTTATCACGTCATCCCTGTTTAAAAAGACTTCGTGGCCTTCCCATCGCACCACAAGGCCTTGAGATGCTCGGATCCCTGCCTGCCAGCATTTCCTTCACCCTGTTCTTCAAATGTGGCAAGTCCTTTCTGCCTCGCGACCTTTGTACCTGCTGTTCCCTCTTCTGGGAATGCCCTTCCCCTGGTCCTTCCCAGGATTATCTCCATTTCATTGTTCAGGTCTCAGCAGAAACACCACCTCCCCAGGCCTTCCCCTAGTCTTCTCCGTCACAGCTCCCTGTTAACTCCCTTCGAAGCAGTTGTCATCCACGATAATTTTGTTTCTTCATTCACTGCCATGTTTACTGTTGTTTTCCCCAGGGGACTATTGGAGTAGGTACTGTATCCATTTTGTTTGCCACTGTACTCTCAGCTCCTAGCAGCTTCTGCTTAGGACATGGTAGGCACTCAAAACTGTTGAGTCGACATGAATTTCCCCAATTTATTCTCTCCCTTTGGGGTCTAAGAACACCTTTCTCCATGAAATAACTGCCAGGTATTGTCCAGCTCTAGTCCTTTCCCCAACAAGCTCAGACACTACTTGCCTCATTCTTCCTACTTGCTTGCTCCTGAGTCTGGTCAGTCTGGCTCCCTCCTCCCTCTCTTTCAGGATCTGCTCACTGAGGGCTCGCGAATGGCCAGACCCTGAGGTCTCCTTTCAGACCACCTGCGCTCCCATCCTTGCCAATCTGTGGCACAGCAACCACCCCTCCTTGACACTGCTGCAGCAATGAACGCTCTCCTGGGTCTCCCTCCTCTCAGGCCGCTCACTCCCATCGCCCGCACTGACTCTGTTCCTTCCCCACCCCCAACCCTGTGTATTGCCCAAGCCTGATTTCCTCACCTTCTGCTCTTGCCTTTCTATGCTCTCCCATGTGGTGCGGCCTCGCAGCTGAGCCACAGCCCCTCAGCTTCAGTGCAACTCACATAGCTCCGCCATGTCCTGCCACCACCTAACGTTCTGTGGTCATCCACAGTCAGGCCTGTCTCTTCTGTGCCCTGAATATTCTATCACCACCTCCACACCCGTCCTCATGCCTTGCCTTCTACCTGAAATGCTCTTCAGCTTCCACCCTACACTGCCAAACCTTAGCTTATCTCTCCTTAAGGCTTGGCCCAAGTCCCATCTTCTCCGCAAAGTCTTCCCTAACCAGTTTGGCCCAGATGAAACTCCCTTCGAGAGCTCCTGTAACTTACTTTTTGGAACACTCAGCTCAGCTATTAATTCTGTATTGTCTGCTCATTTCCATCATTTCACATGCTCAGCATTTATCTTGTGGCAAATCCCAAATTCCTGAGGGCAGAGCTTAGAGCTTCCCCTTCCTGTGAAGGGCTTAGCATAGGGCTAGGACATAGGCTCTCAATAGAGAGTTATTAAAGTGAACTCCAGTTCCTCATTCATCTCTCCCTTCCCCCAGGCAAGCATTTCCGAATTCTTGAGCCTTTCCCCACAGGACTTATGCAAACCTCTCTGGGCTCTGCTCTGAACTGGCTCAGGTTCTCCAAGTTCCTCTTTCATTGTGGAGCCCACACCCACTCCCAAGGCTTTCTGAGCATCCAACCTGGCTGAGAACAATGTCGGGGTGACTTCATGTTTATACACCCTGTTTAGTGTTGGCTCTACTTTTAAGCCACAAAACTGCTGCAGACTCATGGTTGGCTGAGGGGCTGTGGGAGCAGCCTGCCAGCTCAGGTTTGCTGTGCTAGCCCTGCCCTCTCCAGCCTGGAGAAGGAGCCTAGACAGCCTTCCCAGGGTCGGCTCCACAGTGGGACCTTTACTCTCATAACTTTTCTTTCTGCCTGAGGTCAAGTGACCGCATCTGTGATATACTAGAAGGAAGCAGGTGTTTTGGCCCCCGCTCTACCCCCAGGAGAGACACTCACAATGTCTGAGCTAGGGCCACCCAGCAGAGGGACCTGCACCTTTCTGAGCTGCTGACTTCCCTGCTGGCAGGAAGGGTGGCTCTGAACTCCAGTGACCCCCACAAACCAGAGATAAATCAGAAAGGGGTCTTGGTCTCAGGGAGCCTATCCGACTACTCTCATCTGGGTCTCCCATTAGTTCAAAGAAGCTGTTTTTTCACCAGGAACAAGAACATGACCTCCACCCCTAACACAAACAGTAACCTAGGATGCTGGCGCTCCACCCATTCCTGAGAAAGTGGAGAGGAAGGAATAAATCAGCTAGCGAGAGATTTCTTTGGAAATACATGTCATCAATTCTAGGAAACAACCTAAGCTGAGGCTGGGTAGTCATCTTCACAACTGTGAAGTGCTGAGTCTCAGGCAAAATGGAGACAGACCCCACTGCCTAGCGGTGAGGACAGAACTGCACCTGGGAGGAGGCGGGGCCCGCCACAGGTGCCTGTGTGGCGCAGGCAGTGGGAGATCCCTGTGTGTCTGCAGTTCTTCCCGGAGCCAGGTGAAAGGGAGGGCAGCCATATGGGTTCTGGACTTCTTGAATGCCGGCAGCTATCATCAGTGGGGAAACAAGGGCCCTTGGGATGCCCTTGGGGGAACTGCCTGTGTCCAGGAGGAAGGCAGGCCAGGCAGAACCATGACTCAGGAGCACAGATCACAGTCAGTTCTGAAACCAACAAGCTGGCGCAGCAGATGACAAACCCGGGGAAGGGTGTAAGGAACAGGACAGGAGAAAGGAGGGAATGTGAAGGAAGGCAGGCAGGGGCCCAGAATAAGGAGGAAAAGGGACAGGTGGAGTCTTAAAAATCCATTTTATCAACAGTTCAAGTGAAGACATTTTGATCAAAGTTATTAACTTTGTAGGTGGCACTTAGCTGGTTCAGGTGGCTAATATGCCAGAAAACAGGATCAGAACAAAAGTGACAAAACTCAATTAAGTTTCTCTTAAAAAGGGTGATGCTCCCTTGAATGCAGGCAGTCCACCCAGGGGAACCAACCCAGCCACACAAAGTGGAGGAAAGGTGGCTGGGCAGAAATGACATGGGGGTGTCTGCAAGGGATGCAGATCAGCCTGGGAGCCCTGCTACTGCAAACCCCCCACCCGCGAGCCCACCTTCCAAGTGCTGCATATGGGTCAGTCTACTCGAGAGTCCCATACTATCATTCCCATCTTTTTAAGTGACAAATGAAGAGGATACTTGAATTAACTAAGAGGATAGAGAACTGATGTCTCAGCCCTCTCTGCCTCCCTGGGAACCTCTTGCCCAGACCCCACTAGCCTGGCTCACCAGGATGTAGAGCAGGATGTAGAGGTGGTGGGTCAGCCAGAAGCCCCGGAAGCTGTGGCGCCGGAAGTGGTGGGAGGCGAAGACGTACATGATGGCCAGGACCAGGAGCATTATGACCCCTGTGAGGCCTGCACAATGAACAAGGGGAGAAGGGCAAAGGAATAGGGCTGTTCTGAGCCCGCCAAAGGCCCAGATCCCTTTTCCGCCCCACTGTCCTAGGAGTGGGTAGGGAAAACCCTAGCATCTCCTTCTGTTCCTCTCCCCTCACACCATTGATCACACGTACCTCTCACTTCATCAGACCCTACTCATCCTTCACAGACCTTGTCATGATATTTTTCAGTCACCTGTGTCATTATTTGTTTTACATGTCCATCATCTTCCTGGCTCTCAGGTTCACAAGAACAGGGACCAGGCTAGACTGGATTGCCACTGAATTCTAGTGCCTCGTGGGCCATACAAATGTACACTGAAAGAATGAATGCAAGGTATGTCTACTCTGGGTCAGACTCGGGACGTTGCAGGCCCTTTCCTCATGGAGTCAAGGCTCAGTCCACATCCCTGCAGCACTCCCCCTAGCTGCCACAGGGCAGAACTTGGGTTCAGCCCTGAGTTGGTGGGAGGCCCCTTTTCACAGGGAATCCCACGCCTGGGCTACACAGGAGGGCAATACGGAGCCAGGGTGGGAATGCAGGGGCCAGAGAATGGCCCCTCAAATGATCAAGGAGGAGAGAGTCAGAATTTAGGAAGATTAGAGCCCTGAAGTGTGGAAAAGCAGAGGTTAAGAAGGGATCTAACCAAAGCTGTGAAGTACAGAATGGAGAAAGGAGTATAAACACAGCCTTATCCTCTAAATCCCAGTGTGCAGGAATTAGCAAGCAGTCTCTGAAGTTCAAAGCAGATCATTTTAGGATTAAAAAATAAAAAATTTTAAAAACTGTGCTGTTACACAGAGGAGTGAGTACAGACAATGTGTTACCCCAAGGAGGGAACAAGCTGAAAATATAAATACGTTCAAGAAGTGTTTGAATAGATTCACAGCTAATAGCCCTAAAATGGGTGATTATGGGGAGTTAGGGATATACCTCTAAATAGTCCTTGTCAAGATAAACTAAAAGGGGTGGGATTGGGCGGAGTCTACCTGGCTTGACAAAGCCTGGTTCCTTTCCTGTGCAGGTGGGGCACAGCATTTCTCAGAGCCACCAGCATGGTAGGTGCGTGTTGGGAGAGTGGAGGGGGCCCACTCCCATTCCACAGAGGGTGAGCTGGTTCAGAGTTGGGGTGGGCGCCCAGTCGAGCTCCTGAACGGGGCACTGGAAAGCAGTCTCCTCTCGCCCAGGAGAGTCCTCAGGGCCAGAGGGCACAGCCTGACTCACCATGAGAGCCCAGAACCTGGAGCTGAGAGCCAGGCCCAGAAACTCACAGAGCAAGAAGGGCTCTCACCTGGCACAGTCTGGAAGAACCACCAGTAATACTTCTGAGGGAACTCAGACCTGTGGGCAAGGGAACACAAGGAAGGATCCTGAGAGGAGAGGTCTGGGTCTTCCAGAAAGGACCCCCCAGACAAGGCACCCCAACCTAACTACCAGCCTCCCTTTCTGCAGACTTGGGGCTGGGGGCTCAGGCTGGTCATTGTCTGTCCTATAACCTATAATCTTGGCTCCTCTGAGCCAAGATAATTTGATTCTTTACACCCATACATAATACCCCCCTCCCCTCTCCCCTCACTCAGTACTCACCCATCGTTGTGGAAGAGGCCAGGGAAGAGGCAGGAGAGGATGCTGAGTGGGCTGATGGAGAACAGGTACACGTTCACCACATGGCCTGCACTGTGTAAAACTAAAGAAGACCAGACAGGGTGCGGTGAGCCTGGGGGCAACTGGGTGGGGGTGCTCAACCCATTCAGCCCAAGGTGTAGAACTCCAGCCAGAGCTGGGGGCCTGAAGGACCCTAGGGGTTTGGACTTCTGATCTCTGATCAACTTCCTGTGTCTCCCCATGTCCCACACACACACCATCCCTGAACACAACCACATGAGTCCAAATTATATTAGAAATTCACTTTTTTGGTTTCTCTTACAGAATTATGTTTTAAAACATAAAAATTGTAAGACCACAGAGTATGTACACTCATTCTGGGGTGTTAGTAACTTGTCAGCTGGAGGGCGGTAAGGTGGCCTTGCAAGTGTGGCAAGAGGCACTGGGGGGGGGGGGCAATGAGGAGATCCTGGGCCTCACACCGCCGCTGGGGCCACCTCCATCCTTATGAGAAGGCATCCAAGACTCACACTCCAGTTAGGTGCAGATAGAGAGGAGGAGGCTCTCAGAGGAGCAGAAGCCAGTGGGGGGCGGGAGGACATGGAGGATCCCAGGGACTCCCAGGGCCTGCCTGTGAGCACGATGGCAGTGGAGGCAATGAGGCGATGGAAGTCCACTGCAGCGTCGAAGGGCACGTAGCGGTTGAGGAAGGTCTCTCGCAGGAAGGTGATGAGGTTGTGGCACATGGTGAGCAGGATGTAGGAGAACATGAAGGAGATGCTGGCGGCTGTGCCCCGCGACAGGATGATGCCCACAAAGGTGGTCTCTGCGATGCCGGAGGGTGGCGCGACGAAGGCGTAGTCTGCAGAGGGGTGCAGGCACTTAAGTGGGGTGCAGTGCACAGGACAGGGTGCCACTGAGGGAGGTCAACTGCAGGCCCTGGCCAGCCACCACTCTCAACCTCCTCCCGAAGTCTTCATTCAAACAAGCCCAAGCACCCCCAGCAGGTCCTGCCCCCACGGCTGGCACCAAGTGCAGGCCTAGCCCTGCTACTCTCTGTCGCTCACAGTCTGCCCCCGCACTGTCCTTCCTGCAGCTGTCACTCAAGTAGGCCCGCCCTCAAAGTTATCGGTTTTTCCAAGTCCTGTCCCCACCCCGTGGCCGACACTCACAGTAGGCTCTCTCCAGGAAAAGGCCTGCAGCGATGGCATAGAACACGACCACACAACCGATGTGGCACCGGTAGTTTTCGACGAAGCGCTTGAAGTGCTGCACCGCCTGGTGAAGACGGCTTCGTTGAAACTTCTCTCGGTGAGCCTCGGTGAATAGCAGGGGCTGAAACAACGTCACCCTGGGAGACAGGAAGTCTTGGCTCTCAGGTGAGGACCTAACTCTAGTGCAGACCTGCTCCCCAGAGGGGAGAACGGGGCAGGGGCGGGGGAGGGGTCAGTTACTCAAGCCAAGGATAGTTCAGAGCCCAAAGGCTATAGAGCATACTCCTCAAGCAGGCTGTCCATGTAGGGATACGACATCACAAGTGGTCACTGTATCCGTCCATCCCAAGGGATGCACTTCATCTACCCCAGTTCTCACTCACACTCAGACGAACCTCTCCCCTCCCAGTCTGTAGCTCCCAACTTCCAAGGCTTTGTTCTCACCCTTTACTGGAGGCTCAAAGGACAACTCCTCCAGGAAGCCTTCCCTCACTACCCAGGCAGAGATGAGCATTTCCTTGAGCTCTAAAGCCCCTTGTTCTTATCACTATTATGCCATTCATTAGTGGGACACTGTAATTATCAGTGTACCAGACTATCTATTCATCAGATTGTGATGTTCTGAGGCAGCGCTTAGCCCAGTGCCTGGCACCAAGTAATCAATACATGCATGCTGAAAGGATGGATGAACTTCCTGGGCTTAGTGGGAGGAGCAGGCGTACTTCTTGCCAAACCTCCGTCGAATCTCCTGGGGGGGCTCTGTATCCATGGGGCACTGCAGTCTGTGTGGTGTCAGCTCCGCCTCGACATCACTGTGGGAAGAGCGAGCACTCACTCTGGGAGAGGGACTAGGACAGGAAGAGATAGGACCTTGGTTACCTAAGTCACTTGGTGCTCTGTTGCCCTTGGTCTGCCTCCAGACCCACTCTACTGAGGAAGGGTCAAAGCTCTCAGCCAGGGGACAGCAGGACTCCCAACAGAGACCTAAACGGAGAATGAGTCTGATCCCGGGGGTCCCAGCCAAGGCTGTCACATGCCGCTGGGCCCTTTATAAGGGCATCTGACCCAGACCGCAGGTGAGTGCAGGGCTGTGTCCTCAGAGAGTAAGAAGTGCCCTTTTCTAATTTATGCGAAGGCTTCATGTGGGCTAGCGTGGGCTGTGATCCCAGTCATTCCAGGGAGAGAAAAGGCAACTGCCTGACCCCAGCCCTCCCTCCAACATTCCCAGATGAGGGCTCACCAGAGCTTCTCCTGGCTGATGTAGGAGGCTCGCCGGCAGAGGTCCTTGATAACTGCAGGTACCTCCACCCCTGCAAAATGCAGAGCCAGGCTAGGAGGCAGCTCAGGGCTCAGAGCCTCAGGGGGACCTGGCTCAAATATCTGGACACTAGAGAGGGTCCCTGGCCAGTACCCTGCCTCTTGGTGCCCCTGGCTCAGCCTGTGCCCCCAGTGGGAGCTAGACCCAGCCACTGGTGGGCAGGGAAACAACGGTGGCCAGGCAGGCTCCCCTGAGTGTGTGTCCACCGTCAGTCTCACTCCTGGGACTAGAATCAGGCTTATGGGGGAGAGTTCAGGAACTGCATGCAACCTGCCTGCTAAGATCATTCTGCCACAAAACCTTGCTAACGATCCTCCAGCTTAAAATCTCCCAGGAGTGAAATGTGGAATCTAGGTGGTGCATATACGGGAGATCACTATAAAATTTTTTCCACTTTTCTATGTTTGAAAATATTCATAAGAAAATGTTGGGTCGGGGGGACCCCCTCCAGGAGCTGCCCGTTGTTCCCTGTCTGGGCCGAGCACTTAGGGGCAGAGCAGGACTGAACAGCAATTCCAGGCTCTCACAGGAGCTGGGAATCTGCAGGTCACTTCCTGAAGACTACCCTGGTCCACAGGCCAGAGGCCAAAAGTGATTAAGCTGAATTAGGTCGGGGGAAAGGGATACTCCTTGTACTATTCTTGCGCCTTTTCTGTAGGTTTAAAATGTTTCAAAGTAAAATTTGGAGGAAACAACAAAGCACAACAATTAAAAGCCAAACAAAATAGTACTCATTGCTAACCCTCTGTGTAATCCTTTCTTTCCATGCCGGCGCCTTCCTCCTCCCCAGGGGTTGGATATCCCTGGGACTGTGGCCTGGGCTCCCTTCAGTCCCCTGCCCCTGCTCTGCCCTCTGGCCTGGGTGCGTGCTGCACTGGCTGCCTGGGAAGGGCGAAAAGCTGCAGCATCAGGAGTGGGGGGTCTGTACTCTACCCACTTTCCTCCCACCCTGGGCAGGGGAAGCCCTAACCAAACGGCCCGCTGTGCCTTGTCTAACTCGCCCCTCTTCCCCACCTGGACTGCTCAGCTCCCCCAGCTTCTCATAATCCTGGGATGGGCTGGGTTTGGTTTCAACATGCCCCGGTGAGAATCCCAGGCAGCTCAGAGCAGGCCACAGGCCGTCCCTCTGCCTGCTCTCTGCCCACTCCTCACCTGGTTTCTAGCCCCCACCCGCCTGAGTCAGACACAGGCGGGGCAGGAAGTGGAGAGGCGGGACAAGAGAAGTGGGTCTTCATGCACTCAGCAAACATTTACTGAGCATTCCTCCACAGGATAAAGTGGCAAACGAAACCAAAACATCCACCACCCCCTGACACCCCAGCGGAGGTAGGTATGGCTGGGGTAGGGCTGTAATGAGGAGACACTGTTCCCCCATCCCCCTCCCCAGCACTGGGCTCCAGGAACAGGGGTCTCTGCCAAGAAAGAGGGATCCCAGCTGCCATCCCCCACTCCATCCTGACCCTGCCCACCCTACCAGCAGCGCGGCATCATGACTTTTGTGGGTCCTAGGCACTGTTGCCTTCCTGGGACCCTTCTTCCATTAAAAACAACAACAAAAAAAACCCTAAAAATTATATATTATAATTATGTTGGTGTAAAGAACATAATCCAGGCTGGATACATTATTACATATTTATTATTATTCTTCTCACTCTTTCCTTCTGGTTTTCAAAGAAATGAAAACATTCCCACAGACTCCCAAAGCACGTGGGCCCTACGTACTGGGCCGGCTGTGCTCAATGGACGTCAGCCCTGCCTCCGGGCTCCCTCACCTTTGACGCAGAGCTGTGTGAAGCGGAGCTCACTGTCGTGGTCCCGCAGCATGAAGTGGAAGTCCTCCCACGTCAGCTCTTCCTTGTCCTGAAAGCCCGACTCCCGGAACATGGACTCCACCACCTCAGCCAGCTGGGCCTTGGACAGGCAGTTGTTGGAGATCTCGATGAAGGACCTGGGGGTTGGGGGAGGGGAGCCATCAGGCCCTGACAAGGGGCCTGGGGCCTAGACACAGGGCCACTGGCCATCCCACCAGGCCTTCAAAGCCCACATAGAAAGACCCTGACTGACCAGATCCTAAGTTCCTTCTTAACTATAACAGTCTCTGGCTACATGGGTGAGAAGGAGGAAGCCCCTGCTCTTTACCCTCCTGCTTCCTCCTTCATGTCCCACCTCTTTCCCCTGCCAGTCCCTGCTCTGGCCCACTCTCCTGGTTGTCCCATTGGACCAACCTCAGCATCCGGATGAACTCGTCCTTGGAAATGAGACCATTCCCATCAAAGTCGTACATGCGGAACATAAGGCGAGACTTCTCTTCAGGGGAGCCTGGGAGAAGGAGGATGCTATGAGAGGCCCAGACCACCTGCCTAAATTCTGGGCTGGCCAGAAGGGGCTTTACACTGGGGTGACCCACCGGTGGACTCAGCGAGGTGCTCTTCTGCTCCCTGACCCTACCTGGGTGCTCCCAGGTGTCCACCATGGCTAGAAACCTGGCCCAAGTGCTTCCCCATCTCCAGCAGGTCAGCTACACTCCAGCCTCAGTCTCCAGCCCCAGTCTGCAGCCCCTTCCATCTTCTCCTTCCGGACAATCACGCTCTCCTCCACTACCTTTCATGAAGACCACCAGGATGTCCAGGAACTCCCGAAAGGACAGGTAGCCATTGCCATCTTTATCAGCCAGAGAGAACATGGACTCCACAAACATGTCCTGGGGCTTGAGGCCCAGGGACTCGGCAAACTCAGCCCTGCTGAGCTCGCACGTCAGGGCCTCCTGCACCTTCTCTGACGAGTCCAGGGGCAGGGTCCCTGCGTCTGCCTGGTCAATGTCCAGCACCTGCACTTGGGCAGCAGCAGAGGGAGGGAGGGAGGAGATGGGGATTCCATGACTTAAAGGCCAGCCGAGGCTTGTAGAAGCCACCTTTTAAGGTGTCTGCCCAGCACCCCCACCCCTAAGCACTCCTCTGTGAGCCCTGTGGGTGGTCCTTGTGGCCATTTATTCTACAGACCCTGGCCCTGTGCATTAGTGCACTGGACCAGGGATGCACAATTGAGCCAGGCAGGGGATCTGGAATTGGGACTGAGAGGTCCTAGGTCTGTCTTGACCTGAGCACAAGAAAACTCAGAAGCTGTGGACCACACTCTTCCTCGAAGTGCTCAGAGACACGGAGAGAGGGCGAAGCAGAGGCCCGGAGAAAAAGGAGGCAGCCTGAGAGAGGTGTGGCCTTGCTTGCTTATAGCTTTCCCTTCCCTGGTCCTTTCCAGGCCAGGTCACGGTCCTCCCTTTGGAATTCCTGAGTCATCGCCATGGCTTCAGTCAGCGGCTTCAGTCAGCGGACCATCCGTCAATGCTAGCTTGAATGGGTTTTTCTTACGCGCAGGGTTTTGACTGGGAAAAGCCTCAGTTGGGTTGAGAAAAAGTTGGGCTCAGGCAGGTGACATTCCCATCATGGGCCATCTTTAGCCCACCCAAGGGGCTGTCCCCGTGTAAGGAGATGGTGAGGGGAGCAAGCAGGCTGCAAACCATGGCTCCTGTCTTTCCGGTCTGTCAACTGGACGCCCCTACTCCAAGTCTGGCTGTGGTTTCATGAGGTAAACCTTGTTGTTTGAAACAAGGTGTTTTAGTGGAAAGGGCGTGGGGCTGGAGACAAGAGATCTGGGTTCATGTCCTAACTGTGCCACCGGTTCACTGTGTGGCCTCAGGCAAGGCTCCAGTGGTCTGGCATTCGTTTCCTCACCTGCCCTACTTACTTCACAGGGTTATGGTGAGAGTCAACAAGAGACACTGTATGAAAAATATTTGAAAGCTGAAAGCACTGTGCCGATAGAAAGGGTTGGCAGCTATCCCCAGGAAATGGCAGCACACCCCCAGCATAGAGAGTTCTCTTTCACAGCCCTGGCAGATCCTGAACCGAGTAGAGGTGCCCAGGTCCCCGGCAATGAGCCACCCCAGTTGGAGGACCCTCCATTCTAGTACACACTCAAGTTCACCTTGTTTGAGGAGTAAATGAAGTAGTCATGTGCAAGCAGTAAATGACCATGAAGTGGTCGCTGCCCTCATGAATCCTCTCCCCAGCTGGCCCAACCCCCTGCTCCTTCTCCTCAAACACTGGTTTTCTGCCCTTCTACCAGGCACCTCTGCTCAGTCCTTTCTGCTCCCCTCTTCGGAGCCAAAACGTTTCAAACTTTGAGTCCTTGCCAAATCTCACGCCCCGCCATGACTTTACACCCACCTGAAGCTTCCCTAGCCTGGCTTAGCTCCCAGACCACTTATTTCTTTGGTCACATTTATAGCTGTCATTCTTTGCCAGTTATTTTCCTTTCTGTGTGCATCCCTTCTTCCCAGAAGGATGATGAACTCCTTCTGTGGGTGCCCTTGCTGTATTACAGTATATTTCCCGAGCGACTCCTTTCCAGTGTCCTGTCCCAGACTCAAACCCTTGCAGTTCCCTTCAATCTTATTTCCCTCTCTCAGTAGCTTTCAGGAGTCCGGGAGGTGGGCACTAACACCCCCTGGAGAGGCCTCTGGCAGCTGTGCTCCCCTAAGGAGGGGTGATCAAAGGCTCTCACTGCCCAACACTGCCTGTCTCGCCCTAGGTTTCTGCAGCCTCTGAGGAGGGCAGAGAGCCTGGGCAGCCCTGAGGAGAGAGGTTGACTCGTGCACAGAGGCCCCTTCCTAGGGAACACCTCTCTGGAGTCTCACAGGTGGGGGTGAGATTGGAAAGGGGTCAGAAACATCTCCTTATATTAAGGTCGGGTGACTTGGCCAAAATCACAGTAGAGTTGTTCTTAGCTGTGATCTCAAAGTTTCCGTCTTTCCTGGGCATCACCGCTTGGCCATGCCCAGGTAAGGACAGCACTACACACAAGGACGGCTCTGTTCCCATGTACGTACCTGGGAGAAAAGGTGCCTGAAAAAGGTCTCCAGGAGGTGGCTCCGCTGCTCCCGCGTCACGGCTGCTCTCATCAGCTCCTGCTCCCGCAGCTCCCACTCCTGGAAGCTCAGCCCGCTCTCCTTCAGAGCCACCCGAATGTTCTCCACCAGTGCCTGCCGCTCTTCCTCCAGATTAAACAGCAGCACCTGTGGAGGCAGCAGAAGGGAGAGCAACCATCTGTCATGGTTTCTTGGGTCCAGGAGCTTTACATGAATTTTGTTGGGGGCCACTGGAAAGAGAGCCCTTGCCAAAAAGATACTGTTATTTCCTGGGCTCCGTGGGGTTAAATGGTTTTCTTACAGAGGTAGCATTCAGTCATATATATATATATATATATATATATATATATATATAAAGGTATTCTTCCCTCTCTATTCCATACTGGAGAAGGGGAAGGCAGGGAGGCCAGAGGACTGAAGGGACCATGAGCCAGACAGTCAGAGCTGAAGATTAGCCTCTGATTGAGCTCCCCTCCCAACATCTTTAACAAATCTCTACAGGCTGAAATCAGGGGACAGGGAAGAGCACCCAGCTTCTTCCAAGGAATCCTAACTAGGACCTGCCACAGCGTTCTTAGGAAGGGAGGAGGCAGACTGTGTCTGCAAGGGGAATAGGGGACTGTGGAAATCATGGGGCAGGAAAAAATGTGCTCCAGTTTCTCTCCCTATGAGATACTACAGCCAGTAACCAGAAGCCCTGTCTGGCCCAGTGCTCCCTTCCCTCTGCTTGGCTGGCTGTGGCTGTGGACAAGGAGCCAGGGGGTCAGCTGGGACACACCAGGTCATATTCCTTGGGGATCTTGAGCAGCAGGGTGCGGCGCCCGCGGTTGCTGGATAGGATGAGTTTGATCTGCTGCAGAGGCCTCAGGTGGATGGTACGGAGTAGAGAGAGCCTGCCGTCCATGATGCGGATCTGCCCAGGCTGCAGGTGCACCAGCACAGGCCGGCAGGGCTCCTTGCGGCCCTGCCATTCCAACGCTGGGGAGAGACGGAGCTGGGTCAGCTGGGGCCCTGTGGGCCTGACCTGCCCAAAGCACATCCAACAGAAGGAGGCCAGCTCAGAACTGGAGTTAGGGCAAGGCCTCCTCACCTCCTTGCCTCTTCTTGGCTGTTGAGGGTCATCCCATCCCTGACAATCCTGCTGTGCCTCTAGCCCATGAGAAGAATAACTACCATTTCCTGAGTGGTTATGATGGGCCCGACACTGCGCCAAGTACTTTGCAGGAACAAGTTCATTTAATCTTCATAAATCTATGATGTAAGTGCTATTATTCTTCTTATTTTACAGATAAGGAAAAATAAGCTTAGAGAAATTTAAAAATCTGCCTGAGGCCAAACTGGTGGAACTAAGATTCCAACCCTCAGTCAGTCTGACTCTAGGCCTTCATTAATTACTTCTCTGTTGCCTGAAATTCCAGTGTGAAATGCACAGAGCCGCAGTTTTGCGGGATCTGTGAGTCACAGTAACCGTGAAATGCAGTCCCAGTCATTCTCGGGATCTGCAGCCATTGGGAGGAGCTATGGAGGTGGGAGGACTGCGGGTCCCGCTTCCACCCAGTGCCCCTGTGGCTCTTCCCACCTGCCCCGGCTGCCTGGAGGCCTCCAAAAGGAGGCTTTTCCCGCTTAGGCTGCTGACATAGAGCCAGGGATTGCCACCCTGAGCCCTGGTCTCTCTACAACCGCCCTGACCAGCCCCAGGCTTACCTTCCATGCCCTCCACACACTTTTCAGCCTTGATGCTCTGGCGGTCCTGGCCCTGGAGCCTCTTGAAGTCTCTCCTCCGGAGCCGGGCAACAACCCAGGCGACAAGCAGGCTCCCTGGGAGGGCAGCGGCAGTAGGACGCTCAGAGGAAGGCAGGGGTCTCGAGAGATCAGCGGCTCCTCTGCCAGGCTCCCTTCCTTGGCAAGACCCTGCTTTCCCCAAGTCCTAGCTCTGTCCCTCTTCATATTGTGAAGCTCCCTTCAGGGAGGGGGGTGCTTTGCATCCTTTGCACAGCACCTACGAGGCCTGTGTCGCCTCATCCCCTGCTCTGAGCACTCAGGTCCCTTTCCAGACAAAGACGGGACCCACTCCACCAGGCTGCTGGTTGACACCCACACACGCGGCTGTGCCAAAGACTAAGTTTGAATGAAGCTTTCGGCCCAGCAACATCATCCCAGCCCTGGTTCTCCAATAGGGATTTGCCTGCTATGACAGTTTGCCAGGCCCAGGCTCCTGCAGGTAGCTGTAGATTGTGAATTCCCTGTAGTGCCTGACCAGTCTGAGCCCTGAGGGGATCCCAGGAGAACAGGGGGGCAAATTCTCCCTGGTGCCAACTTATGTGCAGGTCAGACACTTCGCATGCTCCCTCCTGCTCTGATGTTTTCACCGCCTGCCCAAAGGCACAGTATTCTGCACGGCTGGCTGCCACAGATGGAACCAACCCCACCCCTCAGCTTGCATCGCTCACCCGACCCCACCCTGCCCATCACTTTTACCCAGGGGGAAGCAGCAGAGGGTCCCGATGGTGACCCCAAAGCCAAATCCACTGCCCTTGAAATAGTCCCTCATGACGGGGGGAACACAGGCCGGCAGGCCCTCGGTGCTGAGTTGTCCTGGCTGTGCGCAGGGGTCCCCTGGGGAAACAGAGAAAGCCGGAGTCCTGAGCGGCTGGGATGCTGGGCTACAGGCTCAGGCACAGGATCACTGAAGAAGTTAGGGAAGCAGAAAGCAGAGGCTTGGGGGATGGTTCTGGGTACCAGAGGGGAGGGGGCTGCTTACCCTGCCATTGTCCCTGCCATTGTACCAAGAATGTGGCATTTGCCTACTTGGATAACAAGTGGGGTCTAAAATGAACCTCAACTACACACACACACACACACGCGCGCGCGCACACACACACACACACACACCCCTTCCCTTGTCACAGCTGAGGCGTTGGCATTTCCTCACCACACTGAGCCCTCCTAGTGTCCCCCTCACCCCCAGCCCCATCCCAGCTGAATGTGAGTCTCCATACCAGGTCTCTCTGAGCCTCAGCCTTGCTCTCACTTGGGCACCTCCTGGAGTTGGGCGGAGGGAAACCTACACAGCTGTGTGTGGCAACCTTGGTGCCCAGATCCAAAGTCCCCAAGGGCAGAACCATAGTTCACTCCCCTCTCTGGAGTCTGCTGTCCAGATTCACTGAACCAAACCCTCGGCTGAGGAGGAAGGAGATGCCAGACCCCTAACCCCTGCAAGTACCCGCTGGCCACTCACCCGCACGCCAGAAAAAGACATTGGGCTGCAGGGCACTGGGGTCCACCTTGGTGACAGCCACCAGCACGTCCCATAAGGATGTGTTTCTGATTTCTGCGATCTCTTCCTCAGAAAACAGCCTGGGGATGGGAGAAGGGGGTAGCTCTCAGAGTGGGGGAAAGGTGCAGGCCCCAGGCCCGGAGACCCAGATGAGGAAGGAGACCCAGAGGGGCTGGGGAGGGGGGAGGGCCAGCTGGGCATCAAGGGCCCAGGGGAGCTGTTTACAGGCAGAGGGTCTGAGCCCCGGCCGAGGTGGAGTCTGACGTGGGGGCCCAGGCAGGCCTTACCCGTTCCTGGTGTTCTCAAACCAGTAACGGTCACCGTCCCGCAGCCGCACAAACTGGTCAAGGACAATGGTGCTAAAGAGGGGCCCAGGGTTCCCATGGCTCTCCAGGAGCCCCCCAGGGAGCAGCTCCAGCAGGGACAGGTCCTGGTTGTACAGGGCAGCCGTGGCTTCTAGCACCTGGGGCCAAGAAAGGATAGGAGTGAGTATAAGGACCTGGCACCCACCCTCAGTCAAAGAGGTGGCTCCCAGGGATCAGCCTCAGAGATGACAATAATAATAAATGACAGTAACAATAGTTCACTTATTGTGCCCCAGGCACTGCTGAGTGCTTTACATAAGTTAACTCATTATGGGAATTCTCTCACAGATTCAGCTGCTTATTTTATAAAGTTGCAATAAAATAGGCAGCCAGTCTCCTACGGAACTTATTCTTGAAAAGGTATAAAAGTTGAAGGACCAAAATCAGTGCAGATGTTGAATGGTACAATGATGTGTTACAAGAGGTTTCTATTCTTTAGATCTAAAAAGTATGTTTTAAAAAAATCAAATATCCATATATGCATCGCCTTTTAAAAACAGTCTTCAACAATATATGAGAAGCATATTCTACTTGACCTTTACTTTAGTTCTTTTCTTTACGATGTAAATAAGCACTTGACCGGCTTAATCCCAAGGCACAATTGAAATAAAAGATTTGCCACTGTGAGTATACCTGGTGATTCCTAACTTTATACTGATTTTATAAAGTTTATGAGCCCCATGTACATATCCCTTCTTTATCCGCCTTTCAATCCTCCACCTTGCACCAATATTATGAAATAGTAACGGCAAAGGCAATAAAGTTGTCATACAATTGTAGAAACACCACTGTGCCAAGATGGTAAGGCAGCTAAAACTGGTCTGTTGGCTGTCAGGCAATGCCACTCACCCAGGGTGGAGGGCTGACTCCCCAAAGGCAGCTTGAATATCAGTGCACGAAAGTACAGCTTGTTCCTGAGTCAAGGACTTTCTATACCAACTCAGGGAATCGTTGGGAAGAATGAGATAGTGCCTATTAAGTGCTTGGCACGCAACAGATGCTCAACAAACATTTGCTGGATCTGCACAGTCACAGAGTCCAAAGCCAAATCCTGCTGGTCTGGGACCCTCCATGCTGGGGTGTGATACTGGGGGAAGCCACCTGGGTGCGCCCTGCCCCTTTCACCAGCTGCTTGTCTCTGGTGCTTGGGTCTCATGGCCCATCTTCTGTGTCTTAAGCCAGTGTGCCCTGATCCTCCCACCCTGGCCTCTGGCTCCCGACCCCTCCTCACAGTGCCATCACTCTGGGAGAGTGCAGGGTTGATGTCCTGCCATCTGGTAATGGGAGGCAGGCCCAGCGCTGCTCTGGCCTTGGTGTAAGAGGGCAGGCCCAGGTCCCGGCCCCGCTGCAGGCAGCTGGCCAAGTGGTCCGTGCGAGAAAACTTCAGTGGCCCGGGCCAGAAATCTGTGAATGTGATAGCAGAAAGTCTGAGGAAGCCTAGCCATACCATAATTCCTCTAGTCCACGCCCCAGGCTCTAGCCAGCCCAGGGGGACTTGAGCCATTCAGAGGGAGCTGTGGCCATCAGGCCAGAAGCTCTCTCTGCAGTGAGACAGAGCAGGCTCCCAGCCCTGGTAGCCCTCCCTCCCTGGCTCCGGAGCTCCAGCTGAACCTTCTCCCAGGGGCCAGGGGTATGCAGCCTATAGGGGCCAGTCTTGGCCTTACCTCGCACATCCTCAACCACCACATGGTCCTCTCGCTCAGCAATCTGGGAGGCCATACCCAGTAACAGCGAATCTACATCTTCAGCTCTTTGTAGGTTTGGGTGCTATGGGGGTGAGGAGAGGAGAGGGGTGTGGCTAATGGGACCAGAGGTTGGGTAGCCAGGCTCCCTCCACCCTGTAGTGCTCTACCCAGTCCTGTGGTTCACTCCCAGACTGGTGGGTCATTCCTTTTCCTCAAGTTGATTCCCTGCTCAGAGTGAGTGATATCCCCATTCAAAGCCCATGCTGCTGGGATATTGGTCTCTTTAAGCACAAGGAACCAAAAACTGTATTTCTTCTATCTTAGGAGACTTGAGAATGTGAATGTGGTTGACAAAAACACTATAAGATCTAGGTCTCAGTCCTTGTTCTGTTTACTGACCAGCTGTGTGATTGTGGGAAAGTCATAGGACCTCTCTGAACCCAGTGTCCTCTTCTTACTAAAAAGGGCATTAGAGACTAATAAAATAATACAATAAACTTAATGAAATAATAAAAAAAGAATTAGGAGGACGTTGAAGTCTCCTTCAACTCAGCTCCATGACGGATCCTGTGCCTTCCTCTTCTCTTTTCCTACCTCCTCCCTTCCTCCCTTATGAACACCCTACACAAAAAAATCTGAGTTTGCTTTAAAATAACAATCAATGCTCTTGACCCACAATGACCTGGTTTGGATGGACAGACTATCCCTGGTAATCTCCCAGAATCCCTCCTTCCTCCTTGCCCCCATCCCACAAAAATATATTCATATGCAGCCCTGGGTGTGTCTAATTAGGAAGTTTCCTTGGGGGCTGGGATGGCTGGGGTACTCCAAGGCCTACAGGGCTGCTAAGGGAGAAGAAAAACCTAGGAGGAAGCAGTGAATGTAGAACCACACTTACACAGATCCCACTGTCTCTCACACAGCCCGGAGGTGAGTGTAGAGAGTTGGCTTTTGACCCTATACAGCTACCTGGTCATCTCAGACACTGGTAGGGGAGATGGCTTTGGTCCCCAGGCTGCCTCCTCCACCCGAGCCCATCCCAGCTGGCTGCCTCAGCCCTACTGCCCACCTTCACCACACACACATGCACACATGCACATAAGCACGCACAACACACGTATACCCGCCCACATATATGTCCCAGCCCTGACCTTTCGGCTCCAGTAGCTGTTGCAGACTCGGAGGGCTCTGGAGACACTTGAGTTCTGATTGATGACCTTCTGAAAGTGGCAGCTAGAATTTCTGAAATGCAAGGAGGAGGGGAGTGTTGATTGAGACCCCGGGGTCCTAACGTCAGCCAGTAGCTGTGGTCTTCAAGGCTGCGTAGCTAGGGGCCAGGTCTGGCTTCCTGGAGGTGGCTCGTGCTCAAGGTAGGACCCAAAAAATCTGATTTCAGGGTCCCTCATCCCACATCAGACCAAACATTGAAAAATGTGCGCATAGAGCTTGCACATGCTCTCTTGTGTGTTCTCTCTCCCTCTCCACATATACACATGCATTTTGGAAGAATTTTTCATTGTTATTTTAAAATTACTTGTCTATGGATAACTCAATTGCTATGATTTCTTGGCCATCATCAGGAACATCCAGAAATTGTTCTAGAGTAAACAAATCCAATCTATGAATTGTTTTAAGTCATAATGCAATTGTGAAAGGTATACTGATATGCTTTGCTTTGTATACATTTAATTAAATGTATATTTTTAAAGTTCCTTTTTTATTATTTTGGAGCCAGCATTATCTTCAGCTCTCATATATTTTTATTATAATTTCCCTAAAAGGTTTATAAGCCCCAGGTCCTGTGTTTACAGCTAAAAATGTCCCCAGGGTTGTGTCAAGAACTGCAGTTCAGGCTAACAGGCTTTGTGACTCACCCTCTGAGCCTCAATTAGCCTGTCTTAAACTAGGGGATTAATATCTACACCAGTTGAAGGAAAAGAGACGTAAAAGTGCTTAAAAACCACAATGATATATCTTTTTAAACAATTGTTTTTATTCTTCCCCTTCATATTCACTGTTCCCTGGGGGAATGGGCTAGACTTCAGATTGATAATCCTGTCTTGAAGATTCCTGAGGGCAATTTTTCTCAATTGACAACCGCCCCCACCCCGCGCGCCCGCCCCCCTCCCTGCATTTCCCAGAACACATCTGAACCCTCCCTCACCTCATGTAGACGCCAGGGGGCACCATGGTGGAGAGGAACTGTTCAGAGGCCACCAGGAACTCTGGAGAGATGCTGGGGTCCAGGAAAGGCCGGTACCCTGCTCCACCGGAGTAATGGGAGAAATAAGAGCCTTACCAACCTGCTCTCTTTCCTAACCACGACGTCCACTCAGCCCAGGGGCTCCCCGCAGTGACCTCACCTGCATACTGTGGCGGTGTTTGCTGCAGGAAGCTGGGCAGCCACTCATACAGGGCAATGTTCTGAGGGCCAAGAAAGAGGAAAGGGAAGACAAGCGTTGCAGCTGCCAGGCCAGGAGGGATCTGAGCCCAAGGAAGGCTTAGGTGGGAGGCGGTGGCCAGGCACGGGCAGTCATGGCAAAGGAGACTCAAACAGGAGAGATGCTGAGGTCGTCCCCTCAAGGAGCCGGGCATTTCAGCGGGTGGGTGCAGCTCCATTTCTTGCCTAAGTGACACTTTGCCTCCCTGTCATTTCACGGTCTGTGCCTGGACATCAGCTCTCTGGGGAGGGTGGGCTCCCGGAAAAGGACGCTTCTGGGTGGGGGATGTCCACGGATGGGGGCCTCTGCAGGGGAGCAGAGTGTCCTGTGGACCAGGGTGTGGGCCCGGGGGACGGGAGGGCAGTGCCACTGACCTGGTAAGTGGCGATGACCCTCTTGCGCGCGTGCTGGAACAGCTCCTCGTCCCCCCAGTGCGGGTGCTCCTCAGCCAGCTTCTGGGCCATCAGATTGTGGTAGCGGAACCAGAGCAGGCCCAGCGCCTGCAGGAAGGGCTCGCGGTTCCCTCGCTCCGCCCCGAAGGCTGCATCCGACGACGTGGGCACGCAGGGGAGAAGATGAGCGGCTGTGTGACCCAGGGGAGCGCCACCTCGCAGACCCCAGCGCGCCCTCCCACCTGCCCGCCCCGCCCCGCCCGCGGCCCGTGCCGGGCCCCGCGGCCTCACCGTACAGCCCCTGGGGCCCGCGCTGTCCCGTGGCGGGGTCGGGCGCGATCCACATGAGCAGGGGCGCCTGCGCCTCGCGGGGGAAGGCGGGGTCGGGGCCGGACGCCAGCCGCCCCCCGGAGAAGCTCCGCAGCGCGTCGCTCCAGGAGTTGGAGGAGCCGTAGATGGCGCTGCCGTCCAGCCAGCCCGTCACCTGGTTGACCTGCGAGGGCGCCGGGCAGGTGAGCCGGGCTCGGGGAGTCGAGGCGGGTAAGGGGGGACCTGGGCCAGGACGGTGCCGTGGGTGGGGCTGGGGGTGTGGGTGGGAGCCTGTCCCCCTCCGACGCCGCCAGACCCGGAGCCCAGAGCCGCAGCTGCCTCCGAAGCAGCTCCTGCCCGGCTTGCTGCCTAGCCTTACCAGGTCGCGGGGGTTGCTGGGGCTCTGTCCGGTCTTGGGGTCCCAGCGGCTCCTCTGGAAGGGCAGCACCACGTCCCCGCGCTGGTCCGGGTCGAACACGGGGTCTCCGGGCGGGATGTGGATGTTGAGGAACTCGGCGGGGCAGCCGGGCCTCTCTACACTCACCAGGTCCGAGAGCACGTGGTAGCCTGCCGGCAATGGGGGAGGGCGTGCTAGGGCCAGCTAAGGCCACTCTCCTTTCTTCCGCAGGTATTCAGTCTCCCCACCCCCAGCCCCAAGCTTCAAAAGACTCAACAGACATTATGGGCAAGTCCCAACCTTGACCTTGCCCATCGCTTCCCAATACTTTGTTACACCCTGGTCCAAACTGCTTTCCTTGCCAGTTTGGCCTTCTCCTTGGTAACTGGGCGGTGCCCAGCGAGTGTGCCTTGGCACTCAGGCTGGCAGCCTGCCCAGAGGAGCTGCCAGCCTCAGTGGCATGGTGGACACTGGGTAGCAAGTGTGGGCACCTGAATTTCTAGCAGGAGCCTGACATTCCTGCTGGGAGCCAACAGACTAGACACTGGAGTCAGAAGGTCCTAGCACCCCTATTTCAACACCCTTCAGGCCTCCATCCAAGGTAAGAACCCTGCCCTGAGCCTGTCCTAGGAGCCACAGAGGCAGAGTGAGAACAGCACCCCACTGAGTCCTACCATGTTGTATTCATGCTCCTGCTTGTATCCACAGCCCCATCCACAGCCCAGCCTAGGGCACATTTATACCTCCCCCAACCAGACTTTCTCCCTCTGCTCCCACCTTTACCCCACCCCATCGCCTGCCCCTCCATCTCTCTGCCCTGTCTCTCTGACCCTCCAGCACTTCTCTCCCTCACTCCCTGAGTCCCCCCTCAAGCACAGAGGTGTCTAGCTGACCCCACTAGCCTCCCTCCGCTACAGGTTGAAGTCCTTACCGAAGAAGACCCCCAGCACTGTGCGGTTTTGCAGGGAGGCCTGCCCTGCAGGGCCCCTCATGGCAGCGTTGCTGAGGTCTCGGGGGCTGGGCAGGTGGGGTTCTCCCAAGGGCTGGTACACACCATCTGCATAGGTGGCTGGGACCAGGCGCTGCAGCCGATAGCCTGGGATGGGAGGGGTAGCAACAAGGAGCAGCCCTCAGAGGGACTCCTTGACCTCCCCTTCCCAGGCTTCCTCCATACCACAAATCATAAAACCTTAGGAATGGACAGCCCTTGCTGGTGCCTGCCAGCCCTTGCCCCTTAGTGGTGGGTACCATCCTGACCCTGGAGCTCTGTATCCACTTGGTTCTCACCTACCTATGCTGCCCCATCTGTGCTCCATGAGGTTGTTGTACCATCCATCAAAGCGCTGTACCTCCCACAAAATGGGGTTCTGAGCTCCTGTGTGAGAAGGGAGGAAGGGGCAGCTGGGCAAGTCAGTACAAGAAAGGATGGGTAGGCCTGCAGGATATGCATCCTGTGAGCCTGGTACTTGGGTCAGCAGAGAGTGGATACCCAGCACAGATGTGGGAAGTAGGGTACAGAGGGAGAGAATCAGAGCAAAGTGATATCCAAGTTCAAGACCAATCTTTAAACTGTTGGTGGGGGTGGGAGTGGGGGGTGGAGCTATGGCAGGGAGCACTAAAGGATTATAGCCAGGGAGCCAGGTGCAGTGTCCTGACAAACGGCCTCAGAGAGGAAGAGGAAGCAGAAGGAGGATGGTGGCAATGGGGAAGGGGATGCAGGAGACTTCCACTGCCCTCACATCTCAGCTCCCTGGGGGACACAGCAGGACAGAAGCCATTCCAAGCCTTAAGACATCATACAGAGCAAGAGCCAGCTGCTCCCCAAAAGCCAGCCACTCTTTCACCCAGGGAAGGACATGTGATTCTGTGATCCATCTCCAGGCAGCAGCAGCATGGAGAGGGGCTTGGCCCTCTCCTGCTGAGCAGAGCCCAGGGAAAGGATGGGAGCCACAGAGTTGTGGTTTTGGTCTTTTTCCCAGTTTCTTGGGTGGGATCAGGGACTAACAGTCATGTGGATAACCCCTGCTCTCCCCCTTTTTGGGGGCATCGTGTCCCCTGTTTAATTCTTCCTCTTGACCTTATCATGCTCCAAAAAAACTAGGACTTGGGAGGGTGCACTCAGCTGTTGAGGGAAAAACTCAGGCAATGGGGTCAGAGGGAAGGATCCAGAATCAGAAATATAGCAGGGGTCCTTCTGGTCAGTAGATCAGATGACCAACCAGATTCCTTTCCCCAAACTAGGAGGCTTACAGGGCTGAGTTTCCCTCTCTCCTCACCTCAGAGAACAGAGCAAAGAAAAGGCTGTTCACCAGTCAGAGAGACACCCATTCCTCTGACTGTCTCCCCACTTAGACAAAGGACAGGATCTCAGGACCACTCTCCTGCCCCACACCCGACACACGCACGCACGCACGCAAGCACACACCCCAGGAGGTCAGAGAGGGAAGATGACTCAGGCCCTGATATTTGAAGAAAGAATTGAGGGCAGCAGAATAAGTAACCCCAAAATATGTCACTTTGGCATGTGGATTATTTTGAGTTGAAGGCAATCAAGACACAGTAAACTCAGGAAAAAAAACTACCTTTCCCTTAACCACTATAAAAAATTAGATAAGGTGCCTAGCTCAGAAAGAGGGCTAATGCTAGAGATAACTTTTTATCTGTATGGCAGGGCAAACGTCTAACCAAACATCTGCTCTTTTCATTGTCCTGTGAATTTCCCTCCTCCCCTTTGAAGCCCCAGGCCCCTACCCTGTTGCTCAGCCTAGGGTCACAGAGAAGCCCCAACTACCTAATTTGCCCTTGGATCTCTTATTTTTATGGTGCTCTCATATGCATGAAGTTCAATTTGTTTTTCTCCTGTTAATCTGTCTTATGTCATTTCAAGTATTAAATCGGTCAAATAACCTAGAAGGGAAGAAGGGAAAATTTTTTCACCCCTACAGAACCCAACTAAGGATCTAGACTTGGGGCAGAAATAGAGCAGCCGCATACATGTGATCGCTGAAATAAGATGAACTGGCCCTGACCGGCATGGCGCAGTTGGTTGGGCATAGCCCCACAAAGTGAAAGGTTGCCAGTTCGATTCCCTGTCAGGGCATATGCCTGGGTTTGTGGGACCATTCCGGTTGAGGTATGCACCTCGAGACGCAACAAATTGCGTTTCTCTCTCACACAGGTGTTTTTCTCCCTCTCTTTCTCCCTCCCTTCTCCTCTCTCTAAAAATAGATAAATGAAGTTTTAAAAAATAAAATAAAACTACATGAACTAGTAGCAGAAAAAAGGGTGGGGACTGTTGGGGAGGGGTGGGGGAGAATGCCTCTTGAGAGTAAGAGGGAAGAGAATAGGAATATCTAAGGCCAAAGCATAGAGAAGGCGGGAAGGAATGAGAACAAGAGCAGCTTTGGCAAGGGAGAAGCTGCAGGGGCCATCTCATTATCCTATGCCTCCAGCCAGGACAGATTATTCCACAGATTTTCTTTGCTTCCTGTTCTTGCATCCCCTGATAATCAGGGACTTGCTTTTTTTAAGGGAACTTGTAGTACCTTAAGTCTACTCCCCTCTTCAGAGACCCGGACTACAGGGAATGGCTTCAGATTCTAGTAAGAAACTTCCAAAGCCAAAAGTAACAAGATGAAACTCTTGTGGGTTGTATTTTTTTTCTTAATCATATTGTTTTAAAACATTGGTGACTTCCCTTTGGGGAAGTCAGCTTTCAGTCCAATCTGACCCCAAGATCCTTTATTTTCTTGTGTGTGTAACCAATCTTTTCTTATTTGGGTTCAGGGGTCCTTTATGATGAGAGAAGATAGGGGAGAGACAAAGGGACCCCAAAATAAAAGTAATGGAATAGGAAGTGCCAATTTGGGGGAACATTTTATTCCATTACCCATCCATCTAGTCAGCAAGCTAGAAATGAGCACCTACTTTGTGCAGACTCCTGTGTTAGCTACAGAGCAGGGGTAGAGATAAATGTGATACAGCTTCTGTCCTTAGGAAAGCCCAGAAGATGCTGGGTTCCTGTGCTCCTGGCCATGGTTCTCCCCCAATATGTACTTACCCGTAACCATCGGTGGCCCAACCAGGAGAGTCCATGCCAAAGCCAGGTAGAAGCCCATGATGAAAATAGAGAATACCTTAAAATGGAGACCCTAGAAAAAGACAGGGCACAGAGAGAATGAGCACCAGCAATTGAGGAAAGTCAAGCCAGGACCTCTGAATCAAGGTCCCTGTGAATCAAGGCGTGGACCGAGGCCACAGTGGTGAGCAAAGAGGAGACTCCCGCCCAGGAATCTTCCATTTGTTCAACAAATACTTGATGGACACTCACTATGTAGTGGGCATTGACCTAGGCACCGGAGATTAAGTGATGACAAAGCAAACAGAAATCCCCACCTTCCAGGACTTTACTGCCTCAGATTAATTGGAAAATCTTGTTTTGACCCAGCCTACTGCAGTGTGTGTTCCCTGGACAGAGCCTTGCTTGGAGGCCAGGACCTTGGGCTGAGGCCAGGATATGGTGTTGCTTCCAGTCCACTGTGTAGATCTTAGGTCACTTGTTGGGTCTGGACCTTGGTTTCCTATTCCAGCTATGCGAGTGAACATCCCTGAACTGTCTACCTCATAGCATGGTTGCCAGAATCAAATATGAGATTGAAAAGTGGCAGGTGTTATGTAGAAGTGATATAGAGAAGGTAGGCTGGAGCCTGACTCCTCTGCGTCGACTCAGAGGGGTTCCTGTGTTTAATGCCAACTTCCTGCTCTCTCTCCCTAGGCCAATAAATCACTCAGGGGCAACAGGGAAACAGGCAGCAGAAGACTCAGGCTGGGACTTCTCAGTGGCACAGGGAGTACTCACGGCCAGTGGAGACCTCCTAAAGGCAAAGTGGAGTTTGGGGATGGATTGGGGCTGGGGAACTATCTACAGGAGGAAGGGGGGGCTCATGCAAAGCCTCATCTCTAGCCAAACCCTCCAGGCTTCTGGACAGGTTGTCTAGTTTCACGGGAAGGAACCCAGAGAGTGACCTCATCCCCACTCACCATCTCCTGTTAAACAAATGAAAAAACGTAGGCCCTGTCATAACTCAAAGGCGGGACACACTGAGGTGGCCACAGCGGTCCTTGCCTGATCTAGGATGTCTTACCGCTTCCCCCCATCACTCTGACTTCTGCATTTTTGGTGCCAGACACCAATGTTCTGGCAGCCAATGTCAACCCATAATAGCATACAGTGAGCCTTCAGGCCAGGCTCTGGGGACAACCTGAAGGAGAAGATGGACATACTAAGTAACCGCTTCTTGTGGGTGGGCAGCCACATGGTTTACACAGCAACATTGGTTCGGTAACTTCTCAATAACCTTGAAAGGAAGGCAGTAAACCTCTGGAAAGGGCAGTAAAGCCCCAGGCAGTGGCAGAACCAAGGAGAAAATACAGGCCCGCCTCTTTCTAGACCCACACAGCAACTTTTCCAGCCATGAAGTCCTAGAGCGGTGGGGAAAGGATGAGTCAAGGCCTTAGGAGTTCCTCCTTAGTCCCAAGGGAGGACTGAAGAAGAAAGCCTGATCTCTAAAAGCCCCAGATTCCCTCCCTGGCATCATGTGCTGGTGCCAGGAGGAGCTCCAGAGAGATACCCGTAAGCCCAAGCAAACCAGACCACTCAACACCCAGAAACCAAAGCATCCAGTCTCCCAAAACCTTGGTAGAGTGGAGGATAGGCCCTAAAGGGGCCCACTGTAGCCTCAGGCTAAGAATGGAGGCCAAGGAGGGTCAGGCTGAATTCCCCTTGCCTCAAAAATGCGGAGCTGCGCCGCGTTCTGACGCAGCCTTGCGGCTGGAGCTCCCCCGACCCCACCCCGACCCGAGAGCCCAGATCTGCGGGCCCAGGGAAGCTCTCCGTGATCTGACCTGCGGCCGCGGTGTTCCCTGAGTAGGGACTGCAGCTTCACTCCCGCCTGGTTCGATGGGCCCACGACACCCGACCGGTACCCTCTGCAGCTCTGCGCGGAGTTGGGCGGGGCTGGTGGGTGAAGAGCTGGCGCGCCCCAGTTCTACGGCGGGGCGGGGCGGAGTGGGGCGGGATAGAAACCCGAGCTCGGGGGACTGGATGAGGTGCTCCAAGGGGACCTGGGCGTGCAAGGTGAGACGCCACGTGCTCTCAGGGCTCATATGGAGGGAATGTCCTCTCCGTGGCTAGGGCTCGCCTAGTTCTGCCAGGTTGACGGCGAACCAGGCAAGTCCGTTTCTATGGGTCTGCTGGGGCTGGGAGAGGGAGAAAGACGGAGAGGGGGCAGGGGGGAGGAGAGGCGCTCCCCGAATTCTCTCCACACCGTTGGTTCTGGGCTCTAAGACCAATAGGATCCATCAACACCCGAAGACCTGGCCAGGCGTCCAAGCAAGGCACCCATCTTCAGACTCTGTTGGAGTCTGTCCTAACCACACCCGTCCCGGAGGATTCACCGTGAGATCTCAAAGGTCTCACCGCGCCCCGCCTGCACCCCGGAATGCATTGCTAGGTTTGTGCTGGAGCGGCCTGGGGTGCGGGCATGGGGGACGAGAAGGGGGGGACGAGAAGGAGGGGTCAAAGGAATGCCAGCGGAAAGCAACGGCACCCGTCCCCTTTCTGTGCCAGGCTGGTGTGGGGCAGCTCCGGGGAGCCTGGAGTGCGGTCTGAGAGTGGGAGGCGGGGCAGCATCCCGGGCCCTGTTTGTCAGGTCATAGTTTGGTCCTTAAGTGAATGGGAAAAGTGGGGGACGGAAGGGAGCCCCGCTGATTGAAAGGGTACGCTTTGGTGACAACGTCCGGACCGTGTCCCTCTCTGATTCAACCCGAGAGCGTCGCGTGTGAGGTTCCGCAAGGAGGAGGCCAGCGGCGCGAGTTGCCACTCACATACTGTTGGAAAGAGGCGAAGGTAGGGAACCCTGGTCCCGTGTGTGTGGCTGCGATGTGGCTTGTTGGGGGTCGGTGCTGTCGGGGTTGGTATTTGAGGGAGCCTTGAAGTGCCGCCCTCGCCCCGGCCCCTAGGGGCGCACTTTTGCCCACCCTGATCAAAATTAGATTTTCAAAGAGAAAGTTTGGTAAGAAACTAAGAGGAGGCAAGAAAAAAACCTGGTAAGGCCATAAACGCCACACGGCTTACAGACATTGAATCCTTATCTGGAGTCTGAATAGTCTGGTTTGTATGTTTCAACACTCCTGGGATCCTTACCTACCTCAGCCTTTACTGGGGATTCTTGCCTCATCCTACCTTTCAGATTTTGTTCTGATTCTCCACTTACATTTTCCTTTAGTGCAACAATACATATACACATGTCCACACACGTTTTTGAAAAGGAGAGGCTGGGACAGGAGTTTCTGACAGAGTCTCCTTAGCTGGCCAGGGCTATAAACTTTTAATGGGGTCAACCCCAACCAGAGAAATAAACCACCCATCACATTCTAGCAACTGTGTGTCACCAGTCAGAGTTCTTGGTAACTCCAGGCATGTAACCCACCCCCATTTGTAGAGAATTAATTGTCCTTACTCTGTAGGTCCCAGAGATGGGAGAAGCGGGTGGGGGACTTCAGGAATTTCTTCCCGTCAAGCTATAAGAGAAGCCACAGAGCAGTAAGAAGGTGCATAAGAACTTCAGATGCTAAAGACTGGCTTGTACTAGAACAAACTTTCTTAAAGATTGGAACTATTTCTTGCTCACCCCTCATACATGCATAGGAACTCACTTCATCCTGTGGTAGGTGGTATTGGATAACTGTCTGGAATACAACTGAGTATGAGAAATGCTTCAGTATTTTAAGGGACTTGAGAAAGGGAAAAGGTGTCCTCACCTTTCCAGGTCAGGTGATAAAGGAGGACCCCAAAGTGTGAGGACTGGCCTACCGCAGTGAGAAACTGCCCCAGTCTTGCCACAGCGGCCTCTGATGAAGGGTTTTTGTGTCTAGATGTCTGTTACTGAGAAGCCCTTTCTGGAGCCTGTGTTTCAGTTTATATGAACTTATAGGTGTATATTTGATTGTATCTTGTGCTCATTAATATAACTATACATTGTGTATATATACCAGTCATGGTGATAAGCTCAGGGAGAAGTGGATCAAGTGAAGACTGACAAGAGATTTTCATCAGATAAGAAGAAATTCTATGGTTAGACCCTCCTTGGCAAACTAGGAGGAAGATATCTATGGGAAACTCTAAGCTTCATAGGAAAAGGAGAATTGCTAGATGTGGGATCTTTTCATTTTAGTCACATCTCTTCATACAGGAGGACTGTTCACTTAATAATTAAAATCAAATTAAGATCAGGGTCATGAAAAATTAACTTTAAACTAGACAATGTGGATTAAGGAAGACCTAATTCATTAAATTGAACAAGAAGAAATTAATTAAGGCAAATTTCATTCACCAACTGCCTTTTTGCTTTAGTAGATAAATAAATATTTTGGAGAACTGGAAATAAGTTAATACTGTTCTTCTGAACTTAAAATACATAAAGCCTTTTGTTAGTGCTTCTTTGAAGCACTGTGCTAATAGAAATGAGCCATTCTTGTAAAATATTTTATATGCTCCCTTTCAAATAAACGCAGGAATCATGTTAATATGTGACCCTGATCAAAATACATTATGTTGTTATTATTTGCTTATATTGCAAATATTTGTTTTTAAAGTTCCAGAATGTAACATGTATTCTTACTATTTAGCAAACTTGCTTTATTTTTCTATCTTATCAAGATACTCTATACTTTATATCCTTGAAAAAAATATAGCATTCCATCAAAATTGTAACGGCTTCAGTCTATCTGCTTTAAAATAAATACCACTATCACATATTTTACAAAATAATTGAATCCACAGATTTTTACTCATCTTCAGGTAGAGTTAAAATATATGTTTCAAATTCAATTAAACATGAACACGAATGCTTTGGAGAATCCCCCTGTTTGAAGAGACTTTATGAAAATTTTGTAAAAGCATTAAAAATTGACAGAGTTGGTCAAATCTCTTTCTTCCCTGTCCTTAGCCCAACTCAGGTTAACGTTGAATGAGAATATGGTATAGGGCAATGAGGGAGCATAGCTCCCTCTTGTGTTCCAAATAGAAGATGCTACATGCAGGGAGAGGAACCCATTCATGTAGTCATTTGATCCACAGCCTGATTTGTGTACCTACAAGGAGATGCAAAGATGGAAAGACAAAGTCCCTGCCCTTAATGGGATTAGAAGCTAACAAGGAGAGAGATGTTCAAACGATTAGACTATAATGTGATTATTGGGATCATGGAAGTGTGTTCAAAATGCAATCAGAACATTAGAGGTGGGAACATCCACATAGGCCCAATGGCATCAGAGGAAACTTCATAGAGGAGCTAACACAAACTGAGATGTAAAGGGCTAAAAGGAGTTTGCCAAGAAGGTAAAAGCATTCCAGGCAGAGGAAATAGCGTATACAAAGGCATGAAGGCTTGAAAGAGCACGTCCAATTCAGGGAGAGGCCAGTAGTTCAGTGTGGCTAGAGATTAGGCTGGCCGAAAGGTGGAGGTGGAAGGGCAGAGGGATCAGATCACAAAAGACTTCCTATGTGATGGTGAGAAGATTAGATTTTACCTGCCCACCCCCACCCCAAATTATATTTGCTTGTTAGAAAAATTGTTCTAACACCAGGCAAGCCAGGATAAGGCTGAACTAAGGCAAAGGCAGGAGGGAAGGAAATGCATGGATGGTGTCAAGAAATATTTAAGCATATGTTCCAGGTCCCCAGCTTATTTGATTGATGGGATGGTAATGCCACCAAAGAAATAAGGAGAAGAAGAAGAAGAAAAATCAAAAGCAGAATGGAGACAGTGAATTCAGTTTGGGACCTGGTAAATTTGAGGCATCCATGGAACATCCAAGTGAAAAGCCTGTGGGGTAATTGACCCTTTTGTGTTTGGAGCCCAGATAGGAAGTCTACCTGGTGACAGATTGGAGAAGCATAAGCTATGGGAATAGATGAGCTTCCTCAGAGAACCAGGGAGAGTGCTAAAATAAGAGAGTGAAGACAGGATCCTGGAGAGCATAACATTTAAGAGGGAGAAGGATCCACAGAAGAGAAGGCCAAAGGCAGGACTCTGATCCAGGAGAATGTGGTGTCATGAAGGTCCAAGGAGAAAATGATTGAAGAAAGACGGAATGGTCCACAGTGTCAAATACTACAGAGAGGTCAACAAGGATGAAAGGGGAAACTTCCCTTTGGATTTAGCACTCGGTGACCTAATGGAGAAGTCTGGGCTGGGGAGAAGCCAGATCACAATGAGTTCAAGAGATAAGGCAGTGGAAATACCAACGTAGACTATACTCCCCAAATGCCTGGCTGTAAAAGGGAGAGAATGGGATAAGATGGTAGCTGGAGGGGACCCAAAAGGTCAGGGGAGAGAGTCTTTTTTCTTTGTGTTCTTGAGATGGGAGACATCTAAGCATATCCTTGAAAGAAGAAGCCAGCAGAGAAAGAGAAGCTGCACAGTCGCAGAGAAAGAGATAACTGATGAGAAAGGTGGCAGCGAAGGCAGGCAGGATTCGTGTCAGAGCCCACAAGAAAAGGAGATACTCATTTCTCTGGGATGGGAGAGCTGACAAGTTAAGGAAAAAAGCAAAGTTTCATGTTAAAACTGAGATATAGAGGTTATGTAACTTGCCCAAAAGACAGGATTAAAAGTAAAATCCTTTTGGCTCTCTCTCTGTCTGCCTGATACTGTGATACCCCGGGGTAAGCACAAGGAGGTGGTCAGCCCAGAAGGAGAGGGAATAGCTGAGAGCTACAATGTATTGTTAGGAGAATCACAGTGTTTAGAACCAGAAGGGACCCAAAGATCATCATATCCAATTGCAGATAAGGAAACCAAGGACCAGGTTTTATATCATTTGCCTTCCCATTGTTAAATTAGTCGCTGAAGAACTGGAACAAGAGACAACTGATTCCAGCCCAGTTCTCTCCAAGGATTGGAGATAAATAGAATAATATAAGGCTCCCTCCTTCCCAATCTGGTAGCTTCCATTTATTGATATTATTCTGTTCCAGGTGCTATTCTTAGCACTTTATATATACAGTTGCATTCTATACTCACAATGACCTTATGAGGTAAACATTACTATCATCCCCATTTTTTAATAAAACTCTCTCCAGCCTTAACTGGTGTGGCTCAGTGGATTGAGCAATGGCCTGTGAACCAAAGGGTCACTGATTCCGTTGCCAGTGCAGGGCACATGCCTGGGATGCAGGCCAGGTCCCCAGCAGAGGGCATGCAAAATGCAACCACACATTGATATTTCTATCCCTCTCTTTCTCCCTCACTTCCCCTCTCTAAAAATAAATAAATAAAATCTTTAAAACAACAACAACAACAAAAACCTCTCTACAAGAGGCAGAGGAAGAAATCAAACACAGAGTTACTTAACTCAGAAGCTTATTCTTTCACTATATCACTTAACAAGACACCACCTGGTCAGACTATAAATTATGGAGCCTCCGGGGCAAACCCAGGTCCCAGTGCAGATCACACTCAGGGAAATGAGCAGAGTTGGGATCTTTGATTGTAAGGTGCATTTTTTCCCCACATGTTGATGTCTCTGAAATTGAAGTGTATCTTACTAAGAATGGCTGTCATGATTTAATTTGTAGTTTTGTTTTTTCTTCGTTTCCTTTCCTTTCTTTCTCTCTATTTCTTTCTCTCTTCTTTCTTTCTTTCCTCCCTCCCTCCCTCCCTCCCTCCCTCCTTCCCTCCCTCCCTCCCTTCCTTCCTTCCTTCCTTCTTTCTGACAATAGTGGGTCTTGTAATCCATTCTGTCTGGATTTAACAAAACACAAGTTCTGGTACCATTTCCTAGTATCCTGTCTGCAAAGGAACAAACTAGAGTCAACCTAGCCCTGAGATCTGGGGACAGGCAGAGAATCGCTGAGCCAGTGTTTGAGCTGAAATGAGTCCTGGGAATTTAAGTCAAGGAGGAAGGCTGCGGGTGATGATGCGTGCGATAGAAGGGCATTTGGCCCCAGCGCTGTGCCTGGTGGAGGGCAGGTGCTCCTTCAGTGCTTATTGAGGTGAACTCAATTTAGCTCAGTTGTTCTGGAGTTGCCAGAGCAGGAGCCAGGTGCTTGAGAAAGCTGGACAGACCAGAATGGGCAGTGTGAGGTCTGTAAATTGGCTATATACTTAGCAGAGCTGTCTGGCCTGTGTTCCTTTGGGAACTGAGGAGGAAAGCCAATGTTTTTGTAATCTGTACCATCTTTCACCCTTATGCTTTCATCTGATATTAAATATAGCTCTTTTTATGTTCTGTCTAATCATGCTGGAGGCCTGAGGAAGATAAAAAAAAAAAAGAAGAAGAATTGTATTTCTTAAGACAGTCCCAAAGGAAGCAGAGAAATCTCAAGTGTAATGGTGGTACTGATTTAGGAGACCTGGAGGTTAGGAAGTGGGCGTGGGGCAGCAGAGACTGATTGCCAAGACCCCCGTTCTCTGACAGCCGAAACACGGGGCGATGGGTGGCTGAGGTGCAGTGGATTGGCAGTCACAGTGGAATCTGGTGAGCTCCAGAAAAGAGGGCCCTGATCTGGTTTATTCTCAGATGTATCTCCGGCACCAAGCACAGTGCCTGGCAGAGGGCACTCAGTGAACATCTATTGTTGTTGTACAGCATCCCCCTCCCCTACACAACTCCACCAGAATGGCTGCTTTTGGACACACATTCCCATTCTATCCTGGCCCCAAGCCAATCTTCCCAATGGACACCACCTTGGCCATCATCATCATCATCTTTCTGACTGCACTTGTCACTTTCATCATCATCCTGCCTGGCATTCGGGGCAAAATGGTAAGAAACAAACCCAGCTCTGGAGACCCCCAATCCCGGAGAGATCTTGGCCTTGAGGTGAGGGGGCCAGATTCTCTCACTACAACCAGACGCAGGAAAGAGGCTCCAGTCCTGAGAAAGCAGCACTCCACCTCCACAGAGAGCTCTTGAGCACCTACTGTGTGCCAGGCACTCTGATCTCAATTGACTGAATCACCCAAGTCTGGAAAGAGGAAGGGTGGACTTGGAAGGAGGGTGCTTCTTCCTAAACTCACCCACCCTGTTATGGCTCAGAGGCTGTTCTGGCTGCTGCGGGTGGTGACCAGCTTACTCATCGGGGCTGTGATCCTGGGTGAGTGTAAAGCTCAACTGTCTTGGGCAGTGCCTCCACCCCATCTGGTTCCCTCAGCAGTGCATCTGGCCTTTCCTTGTTTCCCCACAGCAGCCTCTGCTTCTGGGCGGGCTTCCAGGCCCTGCCCAAAGGACTCTCTCATGGTAGCCTTATCCCTTCACTTTTATCCTTGCCCAGAGGGGTGCGGGTCCTGGGGAACCATCCTGGATGCATCTTCGCAGCTTTCCTAACATTTTTATTCAGAGGAAAGTAGGTTAAAAATGGATGTCTGTGGGGAGAGGACCTTTGGAGACTGGAGGGAGGAAATAGAGGAGGTCTGCTTGCTTTGCTTTGAGAATTAGGCAAAAAGGAGAAATGGAAAGTCTCTAAGTTGGAGCTGTGTTTGCCTAGCATGTTATAACTTTAATGTTTTCCTCCCCCAGCTGCTTGAGTGGCTCTCCCTAAATAGGAAAAGGAAGGAAGGGAAGGGGTAAGAGGAGTATGACCAAGGGAAATCGTTTATTCATCACACGTATTTTTGGCAAACCAACCATATACCAGACCCTAGGCTAGTTAATGGATATACAGTTATGAGCAAAGCAGACATGGTCCCCATTTGGCTTTCCCTCTGACTCTAACCCAGCAATGACCAGAACTCCCTAAGTTCCTGTATGTCCAATTCCCCAACCCAGCTGTGAATTTCAGTACTGAGTGGTCTGTGGGCCAAGCCAGAACCAACACATCATACAAGGCCTTCAGTTCCCAGTGGATCCGTGCTGACGTTGGGCTCCAGGTTGGGCTGGGAGGAGTCAACATCACGCTCACAGGTGAGGTAGGGCTCTTACCAGTGACAGAGAGGAAAGCTCTGCTCTGTATCCTTGGGATCTAGTTTGGTGTGGTCTAAAGAGCAATGGTTGAGAGGGATGGTAGGAGGGGGAATTCCCAGGCCTTGGGAGCTGCGTTCTCTCCATTGAGACCAGCTCCTGTCCCTCTGTCCATTGTGCTGAGCCCCTTACCCAGTCAAATACCCTTGGGTCCCTGCTGAGCACAGCTGCCCCATTTCTCAGGGATACCAGTGCAGCAGCTGAATGAGACCATCAGTTACAACGAGGAGTTTACCTGGCACCTAGGCAAGAACTATGCTGAGGAGTATGCAAGAGCGCTGGAGAAGGGGCTGCCAGACCCTGTGCTCTACCTGGCTGAGAAGTTCACCCCAACCAGCCCATGTCGCCTGCATGGCCAGTACCGCCTGGCGGGACACTACACCTCGGCCATTCTGTGGTGAGGGCGGGGTGGAGGCCCTGTTAGTCCAGACCCTGGAACAGGGGTTCTAGCCATCTCGCCTCCACTCATGTGGAGATCCCAGTGGGACAAGCTGGCACCAGTCACCACAGTGCTCGGTTGGGAAGCCCAAGGCAGAAATCCCTACCTCACATCTCTGGGATGTTCTGGGTCCCTGAGCCTCCACCTGGGGCCCTCCAGGTAGAGGTGCCTGGGCCAGCCTTCACCGGGTCCTGGCTTTCCAGGGTGGCATTCCTCTGCTGGCTGCTGGCTAACGTGATGCTGTCCATGCCTGTGCTGGTCTACGGGGGCCACATGCTGCTGGCCACAGGCATCTTCCAGCTGCTGGGACTACTCTTCTTCTCCATGGCCACGTCACTCACCCCACCCTGTCCTCTGCGCCCGGGCACTGCTACACTGCGCGTTCACCATGGGCCTGCCTTCTGGATTACACTCGCGACAGGTGAGACCCAGCCCTGAAAGCAGCACTAGGGATCTCAGGGCTGGGGTTGAAGGCCTGGCGGCCAGGATGCCTTTCCCCTCTTTAAAGCCCCCCTCTCTTATATCTGCCATCTCTGTGTTTCCTCTCCTCAGTTCCACTTCCCCTGTCTCCTTATATATGCCTACTCCCCTGTGTCTTCTCTCTTTCTCTGTCATGCCCCTCATCTGCTCTCTCTTTACCTCTTTCCCAAATCTTCCAATCTCATGTTCCCCTCGCACTTCTCCTAAACACTCTTCTCTGTGTCCTTCATTGCTAGAACCCTTCTCTGTCCCTGCCTCTCATAGCATTAAAAGGTCCTGCAGTTTTAATGTCTTTTCCTGTCCCGCTCTGTCTTGTCCCTCATACCCTTTCCCATGCCTCCTCCTTTGTGTTCTGCCCTTCCCCAAGGGTTTTTCTGTTTACAGATTCTCTCTCTCTCTCTCTCTCTCTCTCTCTCTTTCCTGGGATATAATTGAAACAGCATTGGACTTAGAGTCCAAAACTCACAACCACTTCTCTGAGTGTTGCCTTGAAGCAGGGATGCCAGGGCTCCCTTAGAGTTGTTCTGATGCTCTTAGGAGAAATTGTCCTTAGGAGGGTGTCACCATCACTAAGCAAGACACCTATTGTCTCATTCCCAGGAGTGCTTTGTGTGCTGCTGGGCCTGGTCGTGGCGGTGGCCCACAGGATGCAGCCCCACAGACTGAAGGCCTTCTTCAATCAGAGTGTTGGGGAGAGCCCTGGGCAGGAGTGGAATCCTGAGGAAGGGAGACTCCTGAGCCCTCGCTATCGGTCCACAGCTGAGAGTCCTGTGTCCCAGGACATTCCTCTATCAGAGGCTTCCTCCAAGGCATGCGATAAAGAGGAGCACCCCAGAGCGCCTGATAGTGCCCTATAGGGTTCTTCTGCCAGGTGGCCCCCAGATTTCTAATCTGGCTCCAGATCTCCTTTGCATCCCATAAAACCACCACAGCTGCCTATAGGATGGATTGTTTTAGCCCTCCAGCCCCGGTCTGTAGGTGGTCTGTAGGTCTGTAGGCGGAGAAAAAGGAGACTCTACCTATCAATGGTAAACAAAACAGAACACCTGAGGTGCTGAACAGATGTTGGGGCTGTCCATAAACCTTGTCACATGGTAAGACCAAATGTTTCTGCAAGCAACTCTGCCTTTCTTTGAGGCTTTGCCTCTTTGCCATTTATTGAAACCCAGCTTTACCCACATAATGGGGAGGGGTGTGGTGTGTGTGTGTGTGTGTGTGTGCGCGCGCGCGCGCGCGAGAGAGAGAGAGAGAGAGAGAGAGAGAGAGAGAGAGAGAGAGAGAGAGAGAGCTCGCGCGAGAGCGAGCCAGAGAGAGAGCCAGGCCTGCAGAGAAGTGTCCCACTGGGTGAGTCAGTGGGAGCTATCTGGTCACTGCGCCTTACCATCCAATCCACCTGCGCGGTCCGTGAGAGGACGCTGCTGGCTCCGGTTGGTTGCCCTCTGGGCTCACTAGAGGGCGCCCCTCTCCCAGAGTTTTTTCCCGGGTTACTCTGGATTCTCCAGTAGGAGAGATCCGGGTTCGTGGCAAAGCAAAGAAAAAGAAAGTTTTATGGCTACCACCTGCCCAGCGAAGTTTCCCGAGGGCGCGTATCCCCCAAGACCTGGAGAAGCCACGGAAATTAACGGAGAAAAAGTTTTTAAAAAACAAAAGGAAAAAGTTTTATTTACAACAGCTCACCGGGAGACTCCAGGGTGCACGGCGCCTTGCTTGAGGCCGCCCACCTTTCCCTGGGTTTCCACAGCGCCGCGCCTCTCCCTGAGCTCTGCCGGCCCAAGTCTGGCGGGCGCTGCTCCCAGACCGCGGGGGACCGAGGCGGCGGAGGAGTTCAAGGCTGAGATCCGCTTCACAGGCTAGTACTGATCGTTAAGTCCGAGGCCTCGAGCTGCTTGTGTACTGGGTTGCTAAAGTTGACAGGCGAGTCCTCTCTCGTCTGGTTACCGCGGTTCTTGACGCTTTGGTCCAAGAAGATTCGAAGAGCGCGGGGGCGAGCGTAGTGAAGACTCACCACGGCCCCTCCGAGGAAGAGGCACAGGATGCCTGCGGCGGCGCGGACGCAAGAAAAGGGGGCAGTCAGGGCTCTGGAACAGAAGTCGGACTGCCCCCTGCAGATATTGGAGAACACCTCTCGCGTCTCCCCTCTCCCCCCCCCCCCCCCCCCCCCGGGAGAAAGACCTTTAATGTGGATTACAAGATACTAGGGTTCGCGTGCTAACTGGTCAACATACCAAACTCTTCTGTAAGGACATAATAGTGCCTGCCTCTACAAACTATCGAGAGGGGCAAATTAGTAATATAGGTGAACTCACTTTGTAAGCTGGAAAGCGCTCACCGGTATAGGTCCCGTCCCTATCCCCAGCCCCCCTGGGCCCATCGCTCGGTCCTCACCGGTAGCCAGAGTCACCCAAAAGGCGGCACCATAGTGACTGGTGAGCGCGGAGGAGCCGAAGCGGAGCGGGCAGAGCGGCAAACTGGAGATGGAGACGAAGGACAGGACAGAGAAGAGCGAGAAGGCACCGGTGGCCAGGAGCGCCAGGCCTCCGTAAAGCGGGACCGGCATGGAGAGCAGCGCGTTGGAGAGGAGCCAGAGGCAGAACGCCACCCTGTGGGGAGACCAGCTGCGCTGTGAGCCGGCTTCTCCCGCCCCACCCGGGCTCCCACAGCCTCGCTTCCTCGAAGTCTCTGCCCGAGAATGAGTGCCCGGGTGGGGTGGCGGAAGTGCAGGGGCAACCACCAAAGGGTGTAGCCGGTTCCCGGCCGTTGCCGAGCCTCTCGGGATTCCGAGGGTCTGTGCGAATCACCTGACATTCTGCCCCGAAGGGTGGTCATACTCTCCTGAGTATATTAGGCTGTAACCGCGCGCGCTCGCGCGCCCCACCCCCACCCCTCACCCCCGCTTCCCTGCAGCACGCACTCACCACAGCGTGGCTGAAGCATAGTGTCCCGCCAGGCGGTACTGGCGGTGGAGCCCGCAAGGGCTGCTCGGAGTGAACTTCTCGGCCAAGTAGAGAACTGGATCCGGCAGCCCCTTCTCTAGCGCCTCCGTGTACTCCTTGGCGTAGTTCTCGCCCAGACGCCACCTGAATTGCTCGTTGTAGTAGATGGTCTCATTCAGCTGCAGCACTGGGATTCCTACGGGGGGCGGCAGGGTCAAGCAACTGAGCGGACTGGAATAATAAAGGGATGGCCCGAAAGAAACAGGTTTGGCAGTGGTTGGGGAAAGCATAAATTCATGAGTACCAAAAGATTTTTGAACCTGCGGGATCTGAGAGTTCCTTGCAGCTGCCCCTGCCGCACTCCCCCTACCCTGGGGTCTGCCCATCCCAGAAGTTTACTTTGCCCCATTCCCCTCACCTGTGAGTGTAATATTAACTCCCTCTAGGCCCACGTGCAGACCAATGTCGGCTTGGACGCGGGCTGCACTGAAGGCCTTGTAGGATGTGTTGGTGCTCACTCTACCCACTGACCATTCTGCACTGAAGTGCACGGCTGTGAGGAAAAAGCACACAGTGTGGGTTGGTTGGGGAAACGACTGGAGAGAAAGAATTGGGAGGGTGGTGGTGGAAGGTGGGACACGGTGAGGAGAAATGGAGGCGGAGGTCTAGGGGCCCAATATGGTATATATATAGTAAGGACAGAAGACGGGGTGCTAGAAAGAGCTGGAGAATGGAGAGAGGGAGGCGACAACCCACACCAGTTCTCCACTTTCCCAGGTGCCCTCTGCCAGCCTCCTTCCTCGCCCCAGGTCTTCTCCCCATCCGATACACCACACACTCACCCACGATTTCTGCGCCTATGAACAGACTGAGGAGAACTCTCACCAACCAGAACCAGCGCTGCAGGAACAGACACGGGCACTCAGCCAGAGACCCCAGACCTCTCTTGACCCCATACCACCTGGATATTTAGTGCTCCTGCAACTGCCCGCTCTTGCTCCATGCCTTTTTTTTCCAGTTACATTCCTGGCATTTTGAGGCTGAAGTCAGGCTTGTTTTTTGGGCAAGTCCCTTGAGCCACTAGCATTTCTGATGTTTTCTGGCCATGAGCTTGCACCTCCCCAAACCCATTTTCCAATCCACCCTGCAACTGGGCTATCTCGCTCTGCCTGGTGCTCTCCCACAACCTTCACTACCCCCAGCTATGTTCCACCTCCTGCTCAGCTCACTGCTGTGGTAAGGCTCAGTGAGTCCAGAAGTGCTAAGCAGGCAGAGGTCACCTCCCCCAAGAGATGGAGGACCTGGTTTGGTGGCCAAGTACAGGAGGTGGAAACACAGCCTCTCAGATATTCCTAGGTGCATCGGTTTCCCAGGAAACCAAGGTTGTGAGAGGAGAGGTCCTTCTAGGCTTGAAAACAGGCAACTTATGTTCTGGGAGAGAGGGGAATCTAAGGGAAAGTATTCAGTCTGCTACAAGTGTGAATGCTGTGTCGAAGCATCTGAGTCTTTAGGATGGGGACACCCATATACATGCATCTCAACCCAGCACAGATGAAACATAGCAGTCTGAGCTGCTAGTTTCTGTCCTTTTGGCCCGAAGATCATTACCTGGGGGACTGGATGGGAGTGGCGATGCAGTTTGGGGAGAGGTAGGAGTCCCAGCAGGATGTGAAAACTAGAATCAGCCCCAGGATTACTGGACCAAGTACCTACTCTCTGCAGCAGCCTCTTGAATGATTCCAGCTGGGTCCTCTAGGATGTCTTGAACGGGACCCCTCTCTGTCCTGGGGAAGGGGTGCTTCCTGCACTAGGCTTCTGGGTCTGCTCCACCTATGCTCCTCTGACTATCCTGGATCCTTCAGGGACAACCTGTCCACAACACCCTCCATCCCCAGACTGGGGCTGCTAGCCCCACTTACCGAGTGGCCTCGAATCCCGGGCAAGATGAGCAAGAAGCTGACGGCCAAGGCCAAGAACACCACAATGACAATGAGCAGCGGGGCGCTGAAGCTGGCGGCATGCAGGGTCTGGGGATAGAAAGGCAGCTCTCCATCCCAGAGAGTCATGCTGTAACAGTGCGGAGGGCTGCACTTGGACGGGCAGGCGGGCAGGCCGGCAAGTGGGAGCAGACCCTGTTTGAGAGGGGACAGCGCATCCGTGGCCTCAGAGCTCGGTCCGCTTTTCTTTACTCCCCAACCCCTGTGTGCTGGGGCGTGACCCAATCAATGGGCTGGCCAAGCCTGAGTCCCTTGGCTCACCCTAGTGCAGCCGATCTCAAGCTCTCTCAGGTGCTCCGGGAGGAGTCAGGAAGGCGGAGGAGTGGAATTATTTCTCACTGTCTGTGAGCAGTTACCTTTGCGTCTCCGCGGGTTCGCTCTGCTTTCGGAAGCCGTGCGGGACCAGACCCCTTTTATAGCAGCACGGGCAGCATGCCCAGAGGAAGTCTGGACTTTGCAGGCCAGTCATTGTGGGAAGAGATCATGCAAATGAGGCGGCCGTCACTATGCAAATGAGGAGAGCACTGCCTTCTCAGCTGGAGGGTGAGCCCAGAGTCCAGAGGCTCACACCTGGCATTGGCCTTGCCAGAGTGGACACTGCGAAACGGGCTTCACAGGATCCAGAGAATAGGGTCAGACTACAGCGGGGAAGGTGCTCTCTTAGGAGCTGGTGAGTAGGGGTGGGAGTAAGGTGGTGGAGGCAGAAGGCAGAGCCAAAAAGCAAAGGTTCCAAGAGGAAAGAAGACTTCTGTTCCCAACTGGGGCCCTACACCAGGGGTCGGACTGGGGGTTGGGGCCTGGTCTTCCCATTCCTCGTGTCCATGCACAGACATTCATTGCAGACTATGAGGGGCTGCATGTCTCCGCCCTGAGCATACTAGTTGCTTTTCTGTTTCTGTTTTTTCTAGAAGCAGTTCCTGGGGGGCTGGAGTGGGGATTCCAGGCTTTAGGTGGGCCCCAGGAGGTTGGAGGTAAAGTCCGGCCACTGACTGACAGGCTCCAGAAGGCTTTTGCCCCGTGGGTTTCTGTGTTCGGGTTAGTTCTTCGACAGGATGGAGAGTGGGGACGGTTGTCAGTATCTCCAGGGCTGCCACATGCCGGGGAAAAGAGTGGTATGTGGGTGCGGATGTTTGGTAATGCTTCTAAAATCGTTGCTCCAGAAGTGAAAACAGCTGGTGCATCCTCCCACTGTGCCAGCTGTAGGCGTTAGAGACACCGGCTTTTTGTCCCTCACATACCATCTCTTATCCCCCAGGCTGCAGGCTCAGTATGCTCCACGCAAGACCAGAGGCACTGGTGCTCCTGGGAGCTCTACTGACTGGTTCCCTGGATCCAGCAGGTAAGTATCTGGCGTCCCTAGCTTCAAGAAGTCCTGGCCCAGGCTCCCCTGGGAATGAGGGGAGGGAGAATTGCAGTCAAGCGGCTCCCTAAGGCTGGAAGATCATGTCAGGTACCTGTGCGGCTCAGCGGAATGGGAAACTCCCAGTGCAGCCTCCACGCCGCGCAGGTATAGCCACTTGGGTCAGTTTGGGGATGTTCGATGAGCCAGAGAAACAAACTACCGCCATCGGGTACCCTGGGCGTCGCAGGGACGCTAGCACTGAGGGGGCCACTCTCTGACTCACAGGCGGCCAAGACGCACTCTCACTGTCCTGGGAAGTGCAGCGCTATGACGGCTGGTTCAACAACCTGAGGCACCACGAGCGCGGCGCTGTAGGTGCGTCCAGGGACGGAGAATAGGAGAGAGCGCACCGCCAGCCTCCTGGCTGTCTATGCAGCGAACTCCTATGTATACCTGGGGCCAAGAGACTCTGGAGAGGAGGTCTCGTCACTGGGGGTGGAGGAGTGAGGGAGAAGTAGAGAAAGTTTAGTGGGCTCTTTGGGGACCGAGTGCTTCAACACAGCCCGTCTCCCTCCTGCTTCCTGCAGGCTGTAGACTGCAACGCCTCGTACCGGCCAATTACGCGGACGGCGTGTATCAAGCTCTGGGAGAGCCTCTGCTACCCAACCCGCGCCGACTCAGCAACACCGCCACGCGGGGCAGAGCCGGGCTGCCATCCAGCCGCAACCGCACCGTGCTGGGGGTCTTCTTTGGTGAGGGAAAATTGGGAAAACACTAGCAAGTGCAACAGGAGACCCATCTGAGGCTCCTAACCACCTCCTCTATCAACCAAACAGCATGCCGAGCATTGCTTCATCTCGGAGTGACCTGGAGTGATATTTCTGCCATTAATTTTTTTTTCTTACCCCCCCTTACTCCAAACCCAGGAGTGCCACTGGGCTCCTATTATTGCTGTTAGGAGCTGAGTCCCCGGCCACCGCTCTCCTCCCGATGATATACTCTCTTTTCCCCGGAAAGGGAGGGTAGGTGCAAGGACCTGTTAGGAGATGGGGACGGACGTGGAGGAGCCCTTACATTAATTACGTTGATTCTCATAATAACTTTGCAGATTAGGAAAACAAAACAAAACAAAACAAAAAAACCTGCCGAGCTGGCCTCGGAGCCGGCGCTCGAACGTCTGTCTTTCCGTTCTTGAGAAACTTGGCCAGGGAAAGTGGCGATTCTCACCAGTTTGCACCCTACGCCCGCAGGCTACCACGTGCTCTCGGACCTGGTGAGTGTAGAGAGGCCCGGCTGCCCCGCCGAGTTCCTCAACATCCACATCCCGCCCGGAGACCCCGTGTTCGACCCGGACCGGCGCGGGGACGTGGTGCTGCCCTTCCAGAGGAGCCGCTGGGACCCCAAGACCGGACAGAGCCCCAGCAACCCCCGCGACCTGGTAAGGCTAGGCAGCAAGCCGGGCAGGAGCTGCTTCGGAGGCAGCTGCGGCTCTGGGCTCCGGGTCTGGCGGCGTCGGAGGGGGACAGGCTCCCACCCACACCCCCAGCCCCACCGCCGCCACCCACGGCACCGTCCTGGCCCAGGTCCCCCCTTACCCGCCTCGACTCCCCGAGCCCGGCTCACCTGCCCGGCGCCCTCGCAGGTCAACCAGGTGACGGGCTGGCTGGACGGCAGCGCCATCTACGGCTCCTCCAACTCCTGGAGCGACGCGCTGCGGAGCTTCTCCGGGGGGCGGCTGGCGTCCGGCCCCGACCCCGCCTTCCCCCGCGAGGCGCAGGCGCCCCTGCTCATGTGGATCGCGCCCGACCCCGCCACGGGACAGCGCGGGCCCCAGGGGCTGTACGGTGAGGCCGCGGGGCCCGGCACGGGCCGCGGGCGGGGCGGGGCGGGCAGGTGGGAGGGCGCGCTGGGGTCTGCGAGGTGGCGCTCCCCTGGGTCACACAGCCGCTCATCTTCTCCCCTGCGTGCCCACGTCGTCGGATGCAGCCTTCGGGGCGGAGCGAGGGAACCGCGAGCCCTTCCTGCAGGCGCTGGGCCTGCTCTGGTTCCGCTACCACAATCTGATGGCCCAGAAGCTGGCTGAGGAGCACCCGCACTGGGGGGACGAGGAGCTGTTCCAGCACGCGCGCAAGAGGGTCATCGCCACTTACCAGGTCAGTGGCACTGCCCTCCCGTCCCCCGGGCCCACACCCTGGTCCACAGGACACTCTGCTCCCCCTGCAGAGGCCCCCATCCGTGGACATCCCCCACCCAGAAGCGTCCTTTTCCGGGAGCCCACCCTCCCCAGAGAGCTGATGTCCAGGCACAGACCGTGAAATGACAGGGAGGCAAAGTGTCACTTAGGCAAGAAATGGAGCTGCACCCACCCGCTGAAATGCCCGGCTCCTTGAGGGGACGACCTCAGCATCTCTCCTGTTTGAGTCTCCTTTGCCATGACTGCCCGTGCCTGGCCACCGCCTCCCACCTAAGCCTTCCTTGGGCTCAGATCCCTCCTGGCCTGGCAGCTGCAACGCTTGTCTTCCCTTTCCTCTTTCTTGGCCCTCAGAACATTGCTCTGTATGAGTGGCTGCCCAGCTTCCTGCAGCAAACACCGCCACAGTATGCAGGTGAGGTCACTGGGGGGAGCCCCTGGGCTGAGTGGACGTCGTGGTTAGGAAAGAGAGCAGGTTGGTAAGGCTCTTATTTCTCCCATTACTCCGGTGGAGCAGGGTACCGGCCTTTCCTGGACCCCAGCATCTCTCCAGAGTTCCTGGTGGCCTCTGAACAGTTCCTCTCCACCATGGTGCCCCCTGGCGTCTACATGAGGTGAGGGGGTGGGGCGCGGCTGGTGGTGGGAAACAAAGGGCAGCACTGGCAGATGTGGGGAATCAGAGTCCTTGGGGTCCTGTAGCCTTTTATATGCCTCCACAGTGTAATGGGGGAAGCAGAATTTGGGGTCCTGAAACAACACCCTGAGACAGGAGGTTCAGTCTTAATAGCGAAATCTCCTCAGGTCCTCCTAATGGCTGAACTTCGGCTGCTGAGAGCTAGGTTTGTCCAGCAGATGGGTCACCCTCTTCCCTCCTTCCCTTTCCTTCTGGTGAGGGTAAAGAGCAACCTTTATCTTTAATGCACACACATTGCCATGTCCCCGCTCTGTTCAAGGATCATCCCTCAGGGGCCATCCCTCAGTCCTGGCCAACCCCCTCTGAGTCCCTCTCTTTACTCAACCTCGTCTCAGCTTCTTCCTTGAATTCTCTTACCACATTCTTGATCCCCCACTTCAGAAATACCAGCTGTCATTTCCAGAAGATCATGAACGAAGGTTTTGGCAGCTCTCCAGCTGTCAGAGTCTGCAACAGCTACTGGATTCGTCAGGTCAGCTTGGGTTCAGGGTCAGGGGAAGGTGTGTCAAAGTCAGTCTCATCACACAGACTGGGAAAAGCAACAATCCAGTTCGTGATTGTTGCTGCTCCAGGGTGGTAGGAGATGAAGGGTAGGGTGATCCGAAAATTATCTGGGGACAACAGCTCAAGAGAGCCTGAGACTGGCTAAGGGACCTTTGTCCGGAGGTACTGCAGTGGTCCTAGGTGAGAGGGACTGGGCTTTGGGAAGAGACCTGAAAGCCTGCCTTGACTGAGTGTGTCATTTACTTCCAGGACCCCAACCTGAACAGTGCCCAGGCAGTGAATCAGTTGCTGCTGGGAATGGCCTCCCAGATTGCAGAGCTGGAGGACAGGATAGTGGTTGAAGACCTGAGGGGTGAGCTCTGGAGCCAGAGGGGATAGGGGCCCAGAGGCTGGGCAGC